TACATATTTCTATATTATTAAAAAATACAGAAAATACTAATATATATTTTGTATTGCTTTGTAATTGTAAGGAAATACATATCTCTGTATCTGTAACGTGTGGAGGGTGGGTTACCCCTACGGCACTTAGGTCTCACTAGGCCCATTGTGCATCCTTGTGAGGCAGCCTACATATTTAATATAGTTGACAACGTCGCCAAGAGGTGCTTCTCTTATATCGGCCGGCGTTAGCCGATACTCGCCGAACACAAATCTTCTAATAAATGAGAGCATCGAGCAATCGTAAAGAATATGCTCGATGATCTCATCTTCTTGTTCGTACCCTCTGCAGAGTGCGGATTCTGACAGCCCCATGATATAGAGATGCTTCCGTACTTGGCAATGACCAGTCAGAATACCTAGGCGCAGATTCTTTCTAGTCATACTCAAGTATTTGTTTGTCAAGATAACTTAAGAGCTCCCTGGCGATTCTGTAGTTTCTTGTTTCATCCCATCCTTCTTTGAATTTTACAAGGCAATCTCTTTAGTTGGGTCTGTCACTACCGATTTTGTCAGGCCAATAGAAGGGCCAGGTCCAAAAAGTATTTGGTTGGCTGCTTTCTTGGCTAGTGAATCAGAAAAAAATCTTTCGATGTAGCGTGACCTTTGATCCATCTTAAGGTCAAAGCTTCGTGACATTCTAGTACTAGCCCTGAGTAAATTCGTGGTCTGTTCAGGGTGAGTAGTGCTTGTCTGCTATCTGTATAGATGAGCATGTGATATTGTTTCTGGTGATTTCTTTTGCTGCTATGAGAATCTCCGTTAGCTCTGTTTGAACTACACTGGTACTATTGCTCACAGCTCATTGTGGTGTTGTAATCACCACATCCCTTATGTACCTTTCGCATAGTCTTTCCAATGTCTTCATGGAATGTTTTTGGAACACTGTAATCTATCCTTCCAGGTTTGGGTATGAATACCACTTTTACCTCTCTCCCTTTTTGGTGATATACCTCAGAGCCAACGAGGATCTGAATATACCCACCAGGTGCGGTGTGAGTTCTTCCAGACCCACTGAAATCGTAGACAGCTGGGATTTATTCATCTGCCCTGCCGGTTACGTCTGTGATGATCAAATCAGGAAAGTGTATTGACAGCAGAAGTATTAGGCTGTGTTCTTTGATTAGCGGTATGGATTTCTTAAGAAAGCTTATTGAAGCCTTGTTGCAATAGGCACTCCATTAATTTCTCTGTTTTTGTCCAACAACTTTTTTTGTATTCCTGAGGTAATATTTGTCCTAGTCCTCTTTTAGTTAGGTGGTTCTTGCTTTATTAAAAGATCTCCTATCCACTTTCCTGAAGTGGTTTCAACTCGTGACAAACCTTAAAAATAAGAACAAAAAATATCACAAACCTAAATAATGTCATATCGTTAAAAATATCAAAATTATAAATTCTGTTTTCGGTAAGTCATCTCAGCAAGAATTTTAGTGGTCAATTGAAAGAAAATTTTGCAGTAAAATTAAACGGGATAAATAAGGATATTTATAATATTTAAAAGTAGTATTACCAACATTAAATTCTAATTTATCTGGAGGAATTCCATTGTCAACATAATGTTTTCTTTCTTAGGCAATATTCATTATGTGCAAGAACAATTGAAGTAGGGCTGGATAGATACCGTCAAGTCCTGGCGATTTAAATGGAGAGAAGCTGGATATTGCCCATCTAATTTTTGCATCATCTACAATGTGTTTGACAGTTTGCCAATCATAGACAGATGGATTGTATTCTTCTTCTGCCCAGTCGGTCACGTCTGTGATGACCGAGTCGGGGAAGTGTTGACAGTAGAAGTTTTATGCTGTCTTTGAGATTGGCAGATTTTGTGCCATCCTCTTTGATTAGTGTATCAATGCTTCGGTGTGAATCTGTTGAGAGAGCTTTTTGAGGCCTCGCTGCCTGCGGAAATCTTCGATTTCTTCGCAGTAGGATGTCCATGCATCTCTCTGTTTTTGTCTGACGATTTTTTTGTATTCTCTGAGGTGAGATTTGTAAGTATCCCAGTCCTCTTTGAGTTTTGTGGTTCTTGTCTTATTAAAGGATTTCCTAGCCATCTTCCTGAGGTGACCCAACTCGTGACACCACCATGCGGTAGTTGTCTGATTGTGTTGGACCAGCCTCAGAGGACAGGATTTCTTATAGGAATTGTTTATTGTGCTTTGGATAGTGTTCTAGTACTTCTCCAAAACATTGTTATTGTTTGGTGTTTCGGCCTCCATCTTTTTCAGAGCCTCTTGGAGAAGGTGGGCATAGTCTTCCTAGCGTGGAGGTCGGCAACATCAAGTTTATTTTGAATATTAACCAGCGGTGGTCTGACATCGAAATGTTATCAGACACTTGCCAGTTTAGAATTGATTTATAGATACCAGTTGTGAATAAAGTGTTATCTATTAGTGTTTGACTGCGAGAGTTTAAAAATCTTGGTGTAGCACCTTTAGCACCTCTAGCGTTGTTATCCTTATAGTCCCAACTGAAATGATGAACTTCTGTTCCAGGCAGTATTAAATCAGATCCTCCAGCTCTATACCGGGTGGTGGCGTGGTTGCGTCGGAGGGGAGGTATGCAGATGCCAGGGATTAAGGTTCTCTGTTCCTTTGTGATGGCGTATTCCATCCTAACCGCAGTTATATCGGAGGTGGAAAGATGTGCCATTGAGTGGGATTTGTATTTCCTAGGAATGTAAATGGCTGTCCTAGGTGTTGGTTGCTGGAAAAGCTAAAAATTGAACCATTTAGATTTTTAAGACCTAAAATTTTGGTTTTTATTATCCAGGGTTCCTGGATGACTGCTATTTTGCACCTCATCAAGGCGGCAGCATAATATTACCGTAGCCACCCTTTTGTGCTGCAAGTGACATTGTATAATCGTTACCTCTGTTATTGCTTCTCGGTCCTCCGTTGAAAATTGAGCAGCAAGGTGGTTATTTATTCGACCATGCCTTCCTCCGAAAGTGGGGAGGGAGTGATCTCTTGTGGCTCCTCGGAGTTTTCTTGCTGGAGCTCATCGATTGCCATTTTTCTGGCTCGACGTCCTTCACTGTTGGCTTAAATTGGGGGAAGAGGGTCCTTTACCAAGGAGTCTTCTCTGGGCCCCGCTTCAGCCTCTTTTTCGACCTTTGGCCTTATAGTCAATGAGGTGAACGCATAGCTCATCCTCATTGATTTGGCCTTTAGGGTTCCCATGTCTTCGTCTCCGATGCCGAAGACGAAGAGATGGCATTTCAGGTCTCTTTTGATTTCATGGTAGAAGGTGTACCATTTCGCAACATGCAAGTTTGTGTTTAGCCCCCCAAGTCGCCTGAGCACAACCTCTTGTCAATATCAGCTTGCGCTTCCCCTGGGATCCAGAGAGAGGCTTTGGTGAGTTTGGGGAACTCGTCCATCCTTACAACTGCGAGAGTTTTTAAGCTTGGTACCTTGATTTTTAACCATTCCACCGTCAGGTCATCGTCGCACGTTACTCTGATGATTTCACCAGAGTGGATCCAAGACCTGAATGTGGGTGGCTTGGTTTTGCTGCAGGAGGCGGACAAAATTGTTTTGTCCAGCTCTTCCGTCAGTGACTTTTTGACAAGGATTTCTCTTTCGGTAGTTATCTTACCGTAAGGGTTATCCTTGTCTATTATAGCTACTTTCAGGTGGCTTGTAGCTTATCCCAGACAGAACTTTGTGGTCCTGTCTGGGTTTTTCCCCTTCCGTGGCGTAACCTCGAAAGAGGTGTGAAATCTCGGCCTTTCGTGTCCCTATTTACGTCGTGTTCCTGACCTCTTGTGGAGGCAGAACTAGCATCGCTGCCTAAAGACTTGATTAAGCCGCTTTTGTTTAGTTTGGACTGAGGGAGTTTGCTGAGGATGGCGGTTGCCGTAGCACTGCCTGCCTGCAGCTTATTCCTCTTCCTCCTCTTTGCTTCAGACCCAGAGATTATCTTGTCTCTCCGGGGCCTGTTAGTTGGAGGTGAACTACTGTGTCCATCCACCTTTTTTTGGAGGGGGGCGTCGCAGTCCAGCCTCCTGTGCAGGAGCTGAACTTTGTTGTCCAGGCTCCGTTGCAGGGGGTGAGAGTTGACGTCTTTTCTTCTTTTTTTGAGGTGATCCTCGCTGTCCAGCCTGCTGCGCCGGAGTTGGACTTTGTTGTCCAGTCTCCTTTACTGGAGGTGGGCGTTGACATCCAGCCTCTTTGGGTTCTAGTTTTTGTGTGTCCATATGGTTCCCACGAGTAGCTAGGGAAGGAAAGATCGACCGACGCAGAGCCTCGCATGCGCCGGGAATACATTAGGTACGGAAAATTCATCTGGCCTTTAATGGCTTTTACAATAACTATGGTTTATATTAATATTTACATAAAATAGAGTACTTATACTATTGTTACGGGTTCAGCTTATTAAAATAATTTTAAAAACTAACTAACTATTTAAATTAATTTTATAGATCTTCTATTACAAAACCTTTAACAATAGCAAAGCTTGTAAGTAAGCACGTATACTAGTACGATTAAAAATACTACTGTAGTAATAGGTACCTTAATTTAATATTAACTTACCTCAAAATGATCTTCACAACATAACCGATTACATGCACTCGAAAGGACTTTGTTGATTTTATTGTCTCTCTTCATACCAATGTTTCCGTATTTTCTCTCCTTTTGGCACACTAACGAATACTTTTAATCACGGACATTTCGAAAAATACAGACAGCAAAGGCTTAATAATATTTACTAACCTAACTATCTGGCAGGCGATCGGCGACGATGACGTATCGTAATAGCCTCGCCGCTGCAAGAAAAACGGGGGGGGGGGGTTGCTATTTATTCGAACTTTGATAATTAATTATGAAATAACTGTAAATGCTAGAGAAACCAACTAAATTGCTAAATTTAAGTGCTTCTTTGTCCACTATAGATTGATGCGATAATTTTGAACAGTAGTACACATACATATACATAATGCAATTTATATGTTCTAGCCTTATGATGGTGGTGATGTGGACTTGCGGTGACATTTTTAAAACTACATATTTCCTAGTTCGAGATGCACCAGTGCAATTTTGGGTGTGCGGTTCGGTTCAAGTGACAGTAGACCTTTTAATATTGCTCCAAGTGTTCATTTTTAAAGGGCAATCGACACCCGCCCGGGTTACAAGGGGGAATCCCCATCGGGTGGATTGAGTAGTTATCATTTGGACAGAGGACGAAAAAAATCACAGAGAAGCAAACAATTCCGAGGCGTCGTCTGACTTGAAAGAAAACAAAGTGGATATCGAATCATTAGTTAAAAATGGTAATTCTGACACTGTCTTTGAATATGGTGATTCCTTTAAAAACAGCGATTCTAGCGTTAATTCAATTAGTAATAAAACAAATAAAACTGTAAATTGTATCACTAGCGTCGAGATACATAAAGAAAACTGTTGTATAGTAACTAGCAAGGCTGTTAGTAAAGATAGTATTGTAGAGACTGTTAATAATAGAGAGAGACTCGCAGTGAATGGTGTTACCAAAAAAAGACCTTCTCAGCAGGTTTCTTACAAGGAACGTGCTAAGAATAAAGTCAATAAGCTTATTCATAGACATACGTTATGACATTTGCTTTTAGCAGCTTCCATACCAGATTTATTAACTTTAGTGCTTCCTTTTTTGATGTAAGCTCTTCCCTTTGAAAGTATTTTTCCTTTACAAGGTCTAGTTGAGCAGTCTCCATAGGTACGAGTTTTATGGGGGCATTTTTACATGATTAGGAATGTTAAATAATATAATTTCTTCCAATCATAATTAGGTTTATATTTTATATCTAGAAAAAGATGTAGACTTGGTTTATTTTTAGTATAGTATAAATACAATTTCTTCCAAACTTCTTTACAAGTTATAAATATAAATTTACAAAAAAAGTATAGTAGCAATCTGAATTTTTAAGATTACTTTTTTCAATACTTATTTTTTCTTGGAACCAATTTACTCTTCTTTGCTATGGCTGTTACTCCCTTTTGAACATCATACTCTGTCCTAAAATAAAAGTTAGAATTCGTATAAAATAACAATTCGAACAAAGACAGTTATTTTTACTTCAACGAATTCAGCTGCACGTTTCCTTTGGTTTCAAGTTATTATTTCTTCCTGTTCTTTTTTATTTTTACTTTAGCTCGTTCATCATAATTAAATGTATTGGTCCCTTGTGACATTTGCATTTTGAACTGTAAACATAAAATAAGTGTCCAAGTGTCCAGTCTAGTTGACATACAAATAAAAAAAAATTTCATTAGGGTGCGCTTAGTAAAATATACAAACTTCTATATTTCTGGGCAACTATTGCACTTTTCTACCTATTTTCATATAAAATTATTAATCAGAAAAGTGTCCCATCATATTTAAAATCGTGATTTAGTGTTTTTCTCAAAAGTATTTGCCTGGAAGCTTTCATATAACTTTCAATACATTGCTTTAGTTGGCTGGAAATATAAGGAATTCTTTGTTATTTAACTCAAAGGTACAATTTTAATTTTCTGGCTACAATTCTTGTAATCGTAAAAATTAGTAAACTTATAACTTGTACTGAGATCTGTGAGGTTAATAATTGTTAACCCAGAACTGGAAAAACATCTAATGCTAATTATTATTACAGAAAAAATTATAATTTCATAATTACGTTTACTTCATGAAATAAAGAGGAATTAACTCGTGATATAATCTATTGTTAATATACTCAATGTTTTTTTTCCTTTTTTTTTTTAATTGTATATAGAAGTCATTAAAATAAACAACTTTTTCAAAAAAAACTCAAAAATTTGATGTGTCCAACACAAGACTTTCCTGTCTAGGTATTACAGACTTTTTCTGGTTATTTTGTACAACCTATTGTATCACCTATGTAAATGTTTAGAGGATGAACTAAATGCATACATTTTCCACACATATCTTACTCGAAACATTTTTTGATATATATTCATCCAACGAAAGTTCTGAAAAATCAAAATTTTACATCTTTTTTCAATTTTTTTTTCATTACGGTACATTTTAGAAAAATAATGTATAGAATAAAAATTATAAAGAATGATATTGAAAACAATTTTTATTTGAAACATTTTCTTAAAAATTCGAACTTTGCAATTTTTGTCAAATTTCTCGAATACAGACAAGTTTGGAAAAATGTGGAGAATAACATTACAAGTAAATTCCATAAAATAGAAAAACGGCCCTTGATAAAGTACCCTCCAAATGTTTTGACTATGCCCAAAATTTAATCAATTCGCTGCATGACGGATTGAACCTAAATTAAAAATTGAAGACCTTGGTGGAACAACGGGATATGCCACCAAAAGTTAGTTTTGAAATATTTGAGATTGAAATATTTAATCAAATCCTGAAATCACATTTACACACTAAAAAATAAACAAAGGTCAAGAAATTCAACAAAGGCTTTTATTATTCAAAACATAAGGAAAAAATAGCAAGTTATTTAAATTGTCAAAAATATTAACATTTTTTTGAAAAATGTGTGACTTGTCCCCCTTTTGCCTACAGTTATAAATTACTTTTTTTTGGTTTAAGAACAGAAAGGGTTGTCCTCTTAGAAACCAATAATACTTGTGCAACTTTCCACGAACGCCTACACTGCTTTGACTACATCTTAACACTGATTTCTGCTAGTTCAAAAGGAAATATAAAAATAATACCAAAAAACAAAATAATATAACATTACGCTAAATCTAAACAAGGAAATAAGTTAAGGGACTTTATCGCTTACTGTAATAATAAACAAAAAAATAAGAGTATTAAAAACCTAATATATCCATTTGGTTCAATGATGGGATTTTAAAGACAGTCTTCACTTAACTTAAATTATCACTGACATTATCTACATCTTCTGTTTCAATGTCGTTTATGTTTTGGTTTTCAGTATCCAAATTGCACGCTCCGATTTCTCGATATAAGTGCATGTTCACTGGATGTATATATCTTAAGAGCTGGGCGATATTCGAAAAAAAAATTTTTGTTCAAAGGAATGAGATTGTCGTACTTTTGTTTTAGATCCCTTAATGTCAATGAAACTGCGTTTCGAATACCTCTTTACCTTATGGTAACTTTTAAATGGCTCATTTAATCTGTGTTTTACAAGTAATTTTGGCTCTCCTTTACTAAATTTAAAACTCATAATCTAACTAAAGTTGAGCTTCTCTTTTTCATCTGTCAAGTTCTTTTTTACTATCTGATTCTGTAGATCTTTAAAACATAGAATATCTTTTCGCTCTAATACATTTACAATGAAAGGCTTTGTTCGTTTAGATTTTCGTACTGCTTCATACCAATCATTTGGCTCATAAACCTGCTTCATTCCTTTCTTGTATTTCTCTATTATTGAGAAATCACGATCGGAGGGTAAGTGCATATGACCAACAACTAAGGATCTGTGTTCTACTAATTGGAAAAACTTTTCATTGACTAACTGCTAATAGACCAATTTTTGTTTTAATCATTGCAGTTGTCAGTATAAACTTCTAGTTTTTTGTTTTCTCTTGAGTGGATTTTGTTTAAAATGTCTGTATAATGTGCTGGCTATCTCATCACTATTTCTGTTGGCTAAGCTTTCAGTCTACATGTACATATATCCTTGACCAGTTATACAATCATGTAGGCCTAAGTTATAGACCCTTAAATAAAATGCAGGCCCAACTGTCAAACTTGGGATGGGACTGGTAAGGCTTGTTGCAAATCAAACACAAGTATTAAAGCATTTGCTAAGAATGCGTTCCTGTTTTGGGCAGTGAAGCCGTCAGAATAAATTATAATTGGTGTTCTTAGTAGGGGAAGAAAGTATTAATTGTGCTAAGTATTCTACTAAAAAAGAGGCGTATGTTGAAGCTAGACCATCAGCATTGCTTTCATTATACCAGTAACATGTGACTTCTTTTATGGCAAGGTTATAAATGGTAAAGTTATGACAGCAGAGTTTTGTTTTGTATTTTCACTGCCTGAACATTCATTGTGATGGTATGACATTTTCCTTGTAGCGCCGTCTCTTTATCAGTTTCCTTCGATTGTCTGGCTTGATCTATTCTGGAAAATGAGCTTTTCATAGTTTTATTTGTCTTCACATCCGTTTTTGTACATAAAACACAGATCACATTGATCTTTACGCAGTGTGAATATTGATAAATTCATCCCACCTGCCATATTTTTCATCAAACGAAAAGCAAGAACATTCTTGTTTTTTTTTCTCACGTTCAGATTGATACTCTTTATACAAATCAATCCAAGACTAAAAGCATTGCTCTAAGAATAGTCGGTTAGTATCCTTACGGCAATAGTGAGATTAAAGTTTGTTCAATTTCGTCAAAAATTGCCTCAAAAACTCATTTCCTGCGTGAATGTATCCAGACGTTTATTACGTGATTCAACATCTCTTTCTTGACTTTTGGTCATACCATTCCCAGCTTGCAGTGCAGTCCATTCTCCTAAATATGGAGTATTCAGGAATTCGGGTCGGTGGTGTAGCGGTCTAACGGGCTTATATTCATTTATAAGCAAGTTTATGTGTCAGAGACTGCTGGGCTTCGAATTCCAGACCAGACCATGTAGATTTTTAATTAAATTGCATGGTTCGGTATAGCATTTGATGTGTGCCGTATTAATAGAAATTCAATTTCTGTTGATATGACATGCAGATTATAAAAAATCGCCATACATTACCGTGTCGATGATGGTGGGTGAGGTTTTCCTCACCTGTAAGTCAAATGGCACCATCAATCATCTTTAAGTCGCCCCGGAGCGCCACGGAAAGTAATAATAATAATAGCCGTCCCTTTCCCCGCACAAGCTCAGCTTTTGGGGTTAAAATTCACTCGCAAGGGGGTGAATTAGGGAGAGTATTATTATTATTATATATTTTCTTGCTAACAGGTACATGTTCATTTCCTACTATAAGATTATATTTTAAGGTCACAAATCGTCGAGATTCTTCATTTTTTGTTTTTCATGGTGTTTCGCATGTTTTAACCATAGCTGCAACATATATTTTTCTATTCCCAGTTCATATCCGACCAGAACTTTTTAAAAATTTCGAATCTTTCATTTTCTAAAACTTCTTTTAGATGTTTTTTTTTTACTTTACCCTTACAGCAACATCGTTGTTTAATTTTTTGCCTCTATATCTGGTGCAATGAAATGTGTTTTTTTGGTTTCTGGGTTTTCTAAAACCCAAATACTCTATCCCAGACATTCTTATTTTTTTATTTAAGTTCCTTTTATTTACTCCAATTTTTTTCTTGAATTTTCAACTATAATTTATTCTATTATTTCTAAATTATGGCCTGCATCATTTATTCTTATTTCCTCATTATTGCTAGGTTCTTCTTGATCTGTCTCTTGTTGGTTATTTAAAACCATTTCTTCCTCGCTTATATTCAAATCTTTGTCCTTGTCAGCATCATTTATTTTTATTTCCTCATTGCTAGATCCTTCTTGATCTTTCTCTTTAGCGTCATTATGGTTCTCTTTTTGGTTATTTAAAACCATCTCTTCTTCGATAATTTCAAAATCTTTCTCCTCATTTATTTTTATTTCCTCATTGCGAGATCCTTCTTGATATCTCTCTTTAGCGTCATTATGGTTTTCTTGGAGGTTATTTGAAACCATCATTTCTTTGCTTATTTCAAAAATTTTTGTCCGCATCATTTGTATTTATTTCCTCATTATTTCTAAATCTTTCTTGACCTCTATTTTCAACATCATTAGGATTCTCTTACTGGTTATTATGAACCATTCCTTTCTGTGAAAAAAAAATCACTTCTTCAAAAATTATTTCGACAGTATTAATCATCTCAGACAAATCTTCAGGACTTAACATTTCATGAAAAATATAATTTTTTTCAAAAAAATTATTACACTTTTTTTAGTTATACACACCAGCAAAATTTTCTTTGTTTTCTTGTTGTTCGTGTTGATCTATACCCATTTTTATTAATTTTTGCCCTCTGGAACACTTTGGAAACTTTCTATACATTGTCGTCACAGGACCTCGTAACTCCTAACTGTAAATAAAAAGATAATATTGGCTAATTGAAACATACATTTTTGACGATAATAAACACAAATCAGAAAAATAACACAATTATTGTAATTATACAGCTAAGAATCTTTTCTTTCTTACTTTGTATATGAAGACACAACAGAGCACCACCAACTTAGCAAGCTGGACAGTTACGAGGTATTGAGGTTAGAATAACTCTTTTAACATTGACGAGGTACTGTTTTCTATAAATAGCGGGGAATGGGAGTGAGGGAGTGTCAAAAATGACTGTTTCCTCGCTATACTTACGCGGGTTTCGGATTAACAAAATTATGCAAATTAGTCATTGACAGCCAGTTCCAATAAGGCTCTTCCCAAGAAATTAGGTAAAATTGCCCTAATGGTCAGATTTATATTAAAATAACATTAGGGTAGGTACTAAATTTTCTGTGTGAAGTGTAATATAAAATTATTATTAATGAAGAAGTTTAATTCTGCTCTCAATTATACAAAAGATTCTCCATTATTTTTTAATTAAAAAGTTTTACATTATTTTTCATTTCATTTAACCAGTTGATATTTCCCCAAAGAACAGGTCAAACTTTCGGGTACTTACCTGGAAATACTCATAAAATTTTTAATCCGAAAACCGCGTAAGTATAGCGAACAGACTGTAGATGGAGGCACAATGTCTTTAACTGCATTAAACGTATTTTGACCAAAAATGTTAGTTACGAGGTCCTGCGTTGATGCCCTCGATATATTCCTTAAAATAGAAAAACGGATCCTATAAAGTACTCCCCAAAATTTAATCAGTTCACCGTACGATGGAATAAAGCTTAGATTTAAAATTTGGAGTTTTTCTCTTGATCCGTTTTTAAATTATCTTTAAAATTTGCACTTTTTATCAAATATCTCGAATACAGTCCATTTTAGAGAAATTATGTATAAGCAAGAATTATAGAGAATGATATCACAAACAACTTTTATTTGATCAATTTTATTAAAAATTTGAATTTTTTACTTTTTGTCAAATATGTCGAATACAGAGCATTTTAGGAAAATTTTGTATGGAACATAAATTATAGAGAATATTACAAGCAACTTTTATTTGACGAATTTTTTTGTCCAATAACAGATATATTCCATAAACTAGAAAAACGGCCTTTGTAAAGTACCCCCAAATGTTTCAACTGTGCCCAAAATTTAATCATTTTATAAGAAAACCCGAAAAACAAACATAGACTTATTAATTCGTTTAATTTTTCATACACAAGTTCAGGTCCAGATTTAGATTTATTAATTCTTTTACTTTCCTATTTTTTTATATTTTTAAAAAAATTATTTGAAAAATGTTTATTTTAACGACTTCTCTACACTGTTAAAAAATATAAACTTAAGATTCACCCTGTATACATTATATTCAACTTCAACTCCAATCAACATGCATTTACTGTAGTCACCACCTATGATGAAGTTGTGCGGATCTTGAAAGTCGTATATATTGCATTTTCGTTATCACCAACTCGGCCGCTGTGTTAAAAATATCAGTTGGTGTGAATCGCTTGACGGGTAGATCCGATAGAAATGTAAATATATGGCTTTGCTTCATCGTAGTTGACGCCCACAGTACCTCTTTAATTTTTTCATTTTTCTTTGATGTGTTTTTATCTTTCGGATGCCTTGTTTAACTTCTCTTTATATTAAAATGTATGACTCTTTCTTATTCCAGTTGTGTGTGATGTAAATGTAATCATAATTTATACTGATTTAAAAAAGAATAATCCAATTTTACTTCAATTCTAATCGATTTTTTCCATAAATGTACCTGATGTATTAAAAGAGGTATTTTTGAATTAAGAAACTATATAGACAAAACTCGACCACAATGTTATAAAAAAAGTTCTGCATTAAAACAGAACAGAATTACTTATAATTTTTATTACAATTAGGTAACTACTCTTTAAAAAGAAAATACTAATCTTTACTATAATAAAATATTGTTTACGGTTGATAGTAACTGAAGTTCATCAACTTTATCATAAACCCGCATTGTTATAACAATCAAGTATTAATTGGTTGTGATTGCAATAATATGTAAGTACTCGTTCTCTGAATAAGCAATATTGATTTTAAAAACTATCATCACTGCTGAGATCTATTAAAAAAAATTGAAAATGTGTTAGACAATTATAGTTGTTGTATTGCAGTATTTATTTCAAATCAAAAAAAAGACTACTAAACTGATAGAAAATATAATATTTGGGTTTTTAAGAACCTGTTTTTATTTATTTTTTTATTAACTCACAATTTTTATTCCGAAAATTTTGCATAGTAAATAGGAAGTCCCATAAAGGGTGATTCGTAAGGAATGAATTCGGGTCTAGATATTTAAAAACAATTCAGCTAAAACTAACTTTTTTTTATAAGTTAATAACAATTTGCAAATCATTGTTAATTAAATCCTACCTTCCTGCAGGTTTAGTCTTATTTTTGAAGAAAAATTAATAGTAAAAATATTTTTAAATTTTGAATTTTAACAATATTGTTATTTATATTTCTGTTACATTCATTGCTGAATTTGAGTATTTGTTTAATTTTAATCAAAACTTTCTGTTTACTGACGCGCATTTCCAAATCAAATTAAATAATATAAATAACCGGTGATCCAAAGTATATATCATCAATCAGTTTAAACAGAGAGTGTATATTCTAAATAAAAAAATATAAAGATGCAGTTTTCACCAATCGTTCTAGTTGACACTCAATTTCCCTTGAGGTGCTTTTTAAAATATTTATTTTTAATGTTTTTGAGTAAAAAAATTGCTTCCTTCTTAATATGATCTATATTTAATAATTATTTATGTATCAAGGGCGTAAACAGGCATTTATGGACCGCAAATACATACAAAATGTTATGCATGACCCTTTTAATGATAATTTATTAATAAATATACAGGATGTAGTGCGTAATTATTCAATATTTCAATTTGTGTTATACACGTAAAAAAGTTTAAAAAAAAGATATATGGATTTGAATGATACATATTTTAAAAATATTTTTGAATGTACAGGGTGTTGCGTTTTTGCCTGGCAAATAAAAATGTATGTTTTTTTAAATAGAATGCCTGTATTTTATTTTATTTTTAGAATGGTTTGGTAATACTGTATTTAATCCTAAAATGCCAAGCAATTTTTTTTTTTTTTAAATTAGAGAATAATGTGGGGATTATAATTTAGGTAGGTTTACATTGATTTCCAAATTGTTTAATGTACAGACTCATGAGCTACTAAGCTAACAAATAGTGGTTATAGAACTGGTTTATTTTATACAGAGGGTTGTAAAACATGTCTTAAATATGGCTAAATTTAAGTTCAATTTACTCAATTTTTTCAAATGCAACACCCTGTATATTATTTTAGCATAAAACTCCTTATAAATTTCCCTATCCAACGATACCAATATTTTAGTCAACACATATACAGGGTGTCCCATCAGTGCGTAATTGATCGATAGCTGTTTTATTATTGGAAATAGGAAAAAAAATAATATAAAAGTTGTATGACCATGTTTAATAAATATTCTTAAATAAACAGGGTGGTCCATAAACGAGGGGCTCACCAAATTTATACATTTTTAAAGCCAAACACCCTGTAGGTAGTTATACATATTTGATTATTTGATTGTTTTAACATCGTCAAATAATTTTAATAGACTTCATTTATTTGCCATCTTGTATATAGGGTATGTTAAAATGCGGGATAACAATTTTTTAATGAAATACCCTATATGTTATACCAGTGGTCGGCAAACTCATTAGTCAACAGATCCAAATAGCAACAGTAAAACGACTGAAATTTCTTTTAAGAGCCACATTTTTTAAACTTAATCCATATAAGTAAGTATATTGTTGTTAACTTAATAAAATTAGGGTACTCCTATACGGACCTTTACTAAAAACGCCCTCAATCTGATTGAGGTCGACCCTTTCCAACTCTCATCCATACTTCTCTTGTAAACTTCTTTCATCTATTTCCTATCGTCATCCTCTTTATAATAATAAATAGTTTATTATTTATTCGTAGATACATGAATAAGGAGACAGTATCAGTTAAATATTTAACAAATTATTAAATTTACTTATATACGACTACACAGTAGAAGGAAATACACAGAGTAAGAGTAAATTATTAGAGTAAGAAGAGTACCTAAAATTGAAAGAAATACCGAAATACAATGAGTAAGAATGAAGTTGAAAGAAATACATTGAGTAAGATTGAAGTTAAAAGAAATGTTCAGATTAAGAAAAATTAGAACAAAAGATTAAAAAAATTGTATTCATTAATTAATTATAAATGATTTTAATTTTATTGCACCACTTTAGAACTGGTATAATTGCCAAATTTTGTTTTCGTTTGTTGATGCTAGTAAGGAATCCAAATTGTTTGAATGACTCCGTCTTTCAGTAACTAACGAAGTTCTTAAGGTCTCATGATGAGTCAGATAAATGAAATAATCCATAATTATTTTTGCACCCCTACATTCTTCATCCTCTTTTTACATATTAGGGAAAAATTATACAAGCCATAGGCTGTAGGCACAAGGAGTGAACATCTATCTCTATATTTTGTATACAACGACTATCACCTCTCCTGTGACCTGCGAGCGTGCGAGCTCAAAGAAAGTTCCAATTTAGTAATGCATGAACTGTGGTTCTATCATTAAATCAATACAATATTTACGTAATTCTTTGATTCTAGAATTATGAATTATATATGCAAATGAAAAAATAACTTGATTTTGAATTAAATCTTAATATTTTTGACCATTGAGTTTACCATCAATGAAAAAGGTCCGATAATGTGATCCCATAAAATACCAGTGGAAACATTTAATTTCTTAGGAGATTGTATGCATGTCAGAGGAATACTTAAATGTTTATTTTCTCGTGCACAATGTCTCTGGATTGTTAGTTGTGCAATGAAAAAAGTTGACTTGTCGGTAAATAAACATATATTTTAAAAAGTTTTTATTTTGACTTTGCCGATTCTTCATAATTTCACAAAACTATAAAAAAGTAGAAAAAAAAATAAAAAGTATATATAAATTCATATAAATTCGTATAAATTCGTATAAATTCGTATAAATTCATATAAATTCATACGAATTCATAGAAATTCATATGAATTCAAATGAATTCTTATAAATTCAAATGAGTTAAAATAAATTATTTATTTCCGAGCGAATTCATCTAAGAAGTTTCACTTCTATTGTAGATTCAATAACACACTCCTTTTTAACTATCACAAATTTCACCCACCTTTTAAAACTGTTTTCCGTACTGATTTTTTTTTTTAATTTAAGTCAAAAATAGAAGCATGAAGCTAATATTTTACTCAAAAACGGAACCTTTAAAAAAGTGTTTACCAAGATGGAATAATACTTGAATTATTATTATAATAAATTGATGGAAACCGCATATTTACATGTTGGTAACTTTATTCTCTGTGAAATTGGTCCAATATCTTTTGGACACGTGCAGTTAAAAACTAGGTAGCTATATTATTTTACATGTTGTTGAAATTATACTTACATGTTCAATATAGGCATTTTCTAACATTCCTGAAAATCACGTACTGTTGATAGATCATGTGACCAACAAATGGCCCAATGATGTAATCCTAAATGTTCATTGATGGAATTTCTTAAGAACGTTTGACATTTTACAATTTTAAAATTTAAAACAAAAAAACTAATTAATATATTCGAAATCTTTCGGTTTTACTGGAATTGCAATTAAGTTTGATTGTTTAAATATATCACTCTGTATACTTTAATTTTTTGGAATCTACGGGTCAAATTACATGACAGTTTGTCTTTTTTTTGTTAATATAGAAAGCCATCAACTGAAAATAATCTAAATGGTGCATGGTTTAAAAGATTGTTATATGTAATTTGAACCATAGATTCCAAAAAACAAAAATATAGCATTAGCTATTTAAAAAATAAAACTTAATGGCATTTCTAGTAAAACAGAAAGTCTGCAATTTTGTTTAGGCATAATTGATAATTCGAAATTATGTCTGGAATGTTTATCCCAAATTTGATTCAAATGGCTTCATAAATGAGAGATATCGACAACAAACCAAATTTTTCATCCCCGTCTTAATAATTTAGGGTTATGTTAAGTGGGTCAATTAACTTGAAAAGCAGATGGATTTGGTGACAACCATCCGAGAATTAAATGTTAGAATCCGATGTATGACTCATCTAAAAATTGTTGATGGATAAAAGAACGGTTTTGATGAATATTAGAAAATGGCTAATGATGCGAAAAAATGGCGTCAATTTTTTTAAATAATTTATTAATACTTGTTGAGGATATTGTAAAGATGTAAATAATACAAATGCTTTATTATTGTTTACAATATATCTCCTAATATTATAAAAGACAGGAATTCTCATAAAAATGTGCCATCATTTAAATACATTATTATTTTTTAATTACCTTTCACATTTCGTTTTGCTTTATTTTGTTTGTATATATTTTAGATATAGATTGGTTTATTTTTGTTAAATATTTATTAAAAATGTTAAGGTATAAATAAAAGTAAAATATTTTAACTAAAGTTTATTTAAAACCATAATTAAACATGTGTTAACAGCAACATAACATGAAACCTTGAAAAAAAATTAAGTTTTTCATTATGACTTGTTTGTGACGTATTGATAAATATTACAGATATTTATTTAAAGATCATTAACTTCTCCAGGACTTGGAGTTGCATAATTTTTGTTTTTTCTGGAAACGACTCGAGTTTAAAGCGTGCTGGCTTAGTTTAAGCTGTGTGGCCGCAGCCGTCTGATGATCATGGACCGTTATTATCGCTGCCATCCCGAATGGGTTAAGCTACATTTTTTTATTTGTTACTCAATGATTTTCTTCCAGAAACCACTGACTTCTGTTAGCTTTTTATATATTTTATATGATATTTGAATTTGTTACGATATATTTAAGTTGACTAAGGTGACAGTTAGGGTAGAAACCTCCATTAAAACTTAAACTGGAATATTTACTTGTTCTTCAATGTAAAAAAATATATAAGGTCAGTTGGGGCAAGCGCATCTCTGAAGGGTTCAGAATTAACTGTTGTTTAGTATTTAACATATCAGTTTTCGCGTTGTGTATTTTTATATAGCAACTGAGTAATATATTCAAGCAAAATCTGGTATGAACTATCATATATTTACGTTTTATTGTTATAAGGACATTTTTTTTTATTTTCAATGTCATAGTGGCGCTCTTTCCCCACTAAATGGGGCAAGTGCGTTTCCTAGAGCTAAAACTAACCTGAAAACAAACTGCGGCACACTGGGGCAACTGCGCCTAACCCAAAATTTTACCTTTTTTTTTTTCGAGTTTACAGAATGCGGTTATCTTTATTAGCTCCAGAGATATAAACCCAAACAGGAAAATCAAATGGCTCTGCAAATATACTTTACGTTTATTTGTAATATAAATGAACAAAATATTAAAAGAAAAATATTTTATTGTACGTCATAGCCATCAAACGAGACTTGAAAAGATATTTCGCCTCTTCTTTCAATCACGGGAGTAGGCAGCAGCATTGTGATGTCACTGTCATCGGCCTCGGAAATGTCATCTAAATCTGGAAGCATGAACACTGATTTTTTATTCAAGAGTTTCTTTTTTCTGGCAAATTTTACTGTTATTTTCATCCAGGACTTGACCAACATAGTATTTAATGGACTTCTTTCCAATAAATTTTACGAGAATCCAATCACCCCCAGCTTTTTCTGAAAATTGTCTATCGGAATAAAGTTTTTCTCTTTCTAATTGCTCCTCATTATCTGCAATCTGTTCAAATGTTTCATATTCATCACTTTCATCATAAGTAATATTATCATCGACTTCACTATCTGAGGAAACGACAGGATCTTATGTCTTTTTCTTCTTGAATTTTTTTGTGTCACTTTCTTTTTTTGGTTTCTTTTCTAGCTCTTGTGGTGATACCTTCGGTTTCAAAGTAGCCACTAGAATTTCCTCAAATGGAATTTTATCCTTCCCTTGAACTACGCTTGTAGATGGTTGGGATAAAGCCTCCTCCTGAGCGGTGCTCGTAGATGGCTGGGGTATATCTGACTCTTCTGCAGATGTGGAAGGATCAGCAATGGTATTGCTACCAGTTACAAGGGTGGTAATGCCTTTATGCTCTTGTCTTTTTCTTCTTGAATTTTTTTGTGTCACTTTCTTTTTTTGGATTCTTTTCTAGTTCTTGTGGTGATGCCTTCGGTTTCAAAGTAGCTAGTAGAATTTCCTCAAATGGAACTTTAGCCTTCCCTTGTTCTCTTTGTAATTGCTCCTCATTATCTGCAAACTGTTCAAATGTTTCACATTCATCACTTTCATCATAAGTAATATTATCATCGACTTCACTATCTGAGGAAACGACAGGTTCTTATGTCTTTTTCTTCTTGAATTTTTTTGTGTCACTTTCTTTTTTTGGTTTCTTTTCTAGCTCTTGTGGAGATGCCTTCAGTTTCAAAGTAGCAAGTAGACTTTCCTCAAATGGAATTTTATCCCTTAAACTACGCTTGTAAATGGTTGGTATAAAGCCTCCTCCTGAGCGGTGCTCGTAGATGGCTGGGGTATATCTGGCTCTTCTGCGGATGTGGAAGGATCAGTAATGGTATTGCTACCAGTTACAAGGGTGGTAATGCCTTTATGCTCTTCCCATCTTCTAAGGGCTAACGGATCAAAACTGTGACGCTGAATAACATTTTTATTATAGGGATATATCCCACCTTTTTTGAAACCATTCTGAATTATAATGGGACTTGCATCCTTCCATACTTCTTGAATTAGTATAGTATTATAATTTTTTACCAGGATGTTGTCTTTGCCAATGGACCAACTTTGAATCCCATTTATCCTTTAATAATTTAAAAACAGCCAAATCCAACGGCTGTAAAATGTGACTGAAATGGAGAGGTAGTTTTGAAATCGTAATACCAGGGCATAAAGGGCTTCATTACATTCACATCCGAGAATTTCAACGCGCGATGCCTCCCTGATGAGTTGGAGGATAGCATCATTAACATACATCGGGGAGACAACGTGCGAAGAAAGCACGGATGCATACATCAAAACCTAAATATATACAGAAGACAATAACAGTGACAAATAAACTGAAGAACAATTCTCACGGCATGGATATTTACACGATCTAGTCGGACGGACGACTGAGCACTGAACCGATCGACGGGGCCCCGGTCGAGGGCACTTTACACTCTCAACTGTGGCTCTTTTGGGGGATTTTTCGCCCACTTGTCCTGAGAGTTGTGACACACTACATAGACTGTGCACAAGACCAGTTACAAGCAATGACAACCCTGTTTTTTACTAGCTTTTTCAGGGGATAATAACAATAACTAAGACCAACCAAACTTTTAAACGCTGACAATTCCCGATTCCATAATACCCAAAATCCCTTAATAATGCCTTTCTGGCAAGGAATAAGGGCTGCTATATTTAGTAAAATCACAACAGGAAATGACTATAACATATAGGCGAAGTTATCGTCATTGGCCAAGCGGGTACCTGCAGGCCGACACATTTGGAGTGCTATATATTTTATGTTAAGTTGTATATTTTAATAATTGAATAAATGTTTTAAATAAATAAGAGGGCGTTGAAGTTAATGGTAAATTGTGGAGTGAAACATATGCTCATCTATGCAGATAGCAAACAAGCATTACTCAGACTTAGGGGTGTCGAATTTGCTATATACGATTCAATTCAATAATCCGGTAGAATGAATTGATTCACGAGGAAAACCGGCTGATTCGGATCAAATATTAATTTGGTTATGTTTATTCAAAATAAAAACAATTTATATTTTCTATTAAAAGTTTTATTTAAAAAATAAGCAAATTACATAGAGGTACACTTTTAGTTTAATTAGTTTATTTTTCATGATACTGTATTTTTAACCGACTTCAAAAAAGGAGGAGGTTATCAATTCGTCGCGATATTTTTTTTTTTTTTTTATGTATGTATGTATGTATGTTCAGCGATAATTCTTTAACGCGGTGTCCGATTTCAATAATTCTTTTTTTGTTAGAAAGGGGCTACTTCAGGGGTGGTCCCATATAAATTTGGTCAAAATCAATAATTGGGTCCATGAGAAAATCCTCAAACTCTTACATTTTTTATGTATATTTAGCGATAATGCTTTACCATCTTGTCCGATTTATATGATTCTTTTTGTGTTAGTAAGGGGGTACCTCAGGGGTGGTTCGATATAAATTTGGTTATGATGTTGTGATGGTATCTGCACGTTTTTGAAGTCGGTTTTTTTTAATTTCTAATACTTGTCAAGTAACAATAAAATTGGTCGAGACTCCTAAAAAGGTCATTAGTAGGGACCACAATCCGAATCCCTGTAACCAATCAAAATCATTACCCATGTAATATCTCTGGGTATAGCGAAAGTAAAAGTTGGAAAGCTTTTGGTAGGTAGAGAGGGGGTAAACGTCAAACCACGGCTTGAGAATTTCGCAGTAATATTTACCTGCCAATGTCGTTTCATAGAATAAGTAATTTTAAATTGTTACCGGCGGAACCGGACAATCGCATGTATTTATGGACTATAAATAATTTTTAAACATGTATGTATTATAATATTCAAATCATAATTTTACAAAATTTCAACAGCTATTCACAATTTATTAAACTATTTACTCGAAATTGTTATTAACATCTATAAAATAATTTTGTACGCCAATGTATCGCGTCCACTTCGGTGAGATCCGCCGCAAACCTGTCAATTTGTGTATAAAGTGGGAGAACTGGCAAAAGCCTTTCCAACTTTTACTACTGCGGAGAGGTGAGTTTCGATTGAACTGAGAACCGAAGAACATGTACCTATACAAATTCAACGATATTTCGGTTTAATATAAACGCTTGTAATTTGTAATCGTTTTATGTAATTACCATAGAAAAATAAAAAGGTATAATTACAATGGTCTTTCGAAATTAATTTAATAGTTTACAATTTCTTCGATAAATAGACCGAGACGTGTAGTTATCCTACAAATATTAGATGGAACTGTTTTGAGTCATAATCACAAATTCTTCAATTGAAGCCGTGCTAGTCGTTGAAATAAAAGGAAAGGAACCCGTTTATTGTTGTTTAAAAATCTGCAAAATTGCAAAATTTAACGGTTGGTTGCTGAAAAGCCATAGAGAACGAGATTAGGTTATTTCAAAAAAGAAGAAGGGCCTCGTCTTCGAAACAGGGTTGCCAGTTTCTTACAATTGTAACAAATCTATTAAATTTCCAATCCAAACAATATAAGAATAATATAATAATAACAACAACAAGACGAATTAATTTATATTTTTATGGACAGGGGGAATTTTGTTATTAATTAATAATGGATTTAGTTTAAAGCTATGTTTATGTAGATGTTATATTTTTGCAAACACCAGATTTTAATTTTATGTAATAAATAACTTATTAAATGTATGATACAGAAACCAGAAGCCTCGACTACCGCTACATAGAACAGAAGTAAAAGTTGGAAATGCTTTTGCCAGTTCTCCCACTTTATACACATAAATTAACAGGTTGGCAGCGGATCTCCCCGAAGTGGACGCGATACATTGGCGTACAAAATTATTTTATAGATGTTAATAACAATTTCGAGTAAATAGTTTAATAAATTGTGAATAGCTGTTGAAATTTTGTAAAATTATAATTTGAATATTATAATACATGTTTAATAATTATTTATAATCCATAAATACATGCGATTGTCCGGTTCCGCCGATAACAATTTAAAATTACTTATTTTATGAAACGACACTGGCAGGTAAACATTACTGTGAAATTCTCGGATCCGCCCGACGTGGTTTGACGTTTACCCCCTCTCTACCTACCAAAAGACTTTTCAACTTTTACTTTCTCTATACACAAATAGTGCAAAATCTAAACAATAAAAAAAAACTTTCTATTACATTTTCTTTGAAATTATTATAATTTTGAAAGTTGCTCTATTACATCAGAGCATTGTATAAAATGATCAGAGACAACAGGTATTTTCCTTTGCATCGTAAGTGTAGCACTGAGCAACACCACTTCTGAAAATATCGTTCCATTTATACAAATTGTATGGATGGAACGATATTTTCAGAAGTGGCGTAGCTCAGTGCTACACTTTCGATGCAAAGGAAAAGACCTAATATGTCTCTGATTACATAGAGTAAGTGTTCTGTGTATTACATTTCTTCAGAGTGCTCTGGCAACACTGCTTCGAACTTCTGTAGAATAACATAACCAAAAAACAATGGTAAAAAAAACTAAACAAAAATATTTAATATTGATTAATCATGGCACCACATGGTGAATGTTGTGGAGGTGCAAACCATCATCATGAATCCGATGAAACTGGTATTAGTTATAGTTTATATACTAAAATAAACAAAGAAAATTTAGAGTGTTTAAATGAGGCAGGTGAAGGTTCTGGCAAAACAGTATTCAAGCCATGGGAAGAACGTCTAAATTATGAAGCAGTAAGTAAAGTCAGGTCAAATTTTTTTGTTCAAATAATCTAGTTTAACCGCTTTTTCTACTATACTTACAATTTTTTATTAGTCCCTCATTTTTTCCAACACTTAGGTACTGTGAATTTGTGTTTTAATTGGTTGCTAGTTGCTACGTATTATTATTATTATTAACGAGATGCACCGTTGTTGTCTTCATAATGAAGAAGTTGGCATTCATTATAGCTTATTCAGTAAAATAGATAAGGAAAAACTAGAGTGTTTAAATGAATCTGTTGAACATGCTGGAAAAAAAGTTTTTAAACCCTGGGAAGATCGATTAAGTTGTGTAGTAAGTAGTAAAATTGATCTTACATTATCCTTGAGAAATATTAACTCTTAGTAAACATTAATAGCAATACCATTATAAAATATACTACAATACAGTAATAATAAATATTGTTCTTCCTTTATGTTGTGAGTCTAGAATAATATTGTCAGTGTAAATCGCAAAGTGTGTAACTCCATTTAGGTAAATTTTGCAGGAGGGCTAAAACACTAATTAAAATGAGGGGCCCATAACACTTTGGTGTCACAAAATAGGCATTAAAAAAAAATAGAACCATTTTGAATGTCGTAGAGACTAATTCTTTACAAAAAAGTGCCGATAACAATTTTTTTTTAAATTTAATTTTTGTTTTTGTTTTGGAACATGAAACTTGAGTGAAATCCTCTTCCCGGCCAACTGACACAGATCAAAGAATATGCATTCTTGCTTCTCAGCTTAATATCCCTACTTCTACCAAATAAACCTAAGTACCTATTGATTTTTGTAATAAACACAACATAAAACTTTGAAATATTTATTAATTAAAAAACATTTTTCTGTAATATGTTCACAAATATTGGTAAAAGTATCTTTTGTATTGCCACCATATATATCATACCACATGAAATAGTCTATATGCTCTGGCAATAGCCTTGAAGCCATTACATTATTTCTTCTGCAAAATCCCTTAAGTTGAGACCAGTAACCTTCAACATAATTTGTGCAAACTCCTGTTTGTGGGTCAACAAAATTAGCAGAATGATTTACCGATTTATGTGTATAAGGAGACACACCATCATGATTATTTAAACAATTATAGACATGCCACTTATCAGTCAAAATTTCTGTTCCAAGTAGTACATATTCTATAATTTTTTCTAACATTAATTTTCTTGACTGATCTCTTAAATAAATCACACCTCTTTTTGTTGTAGTATCTACCATTCCCAACACCCAAACTTGTGGTACAATCCTACCTACATTATATTTTCTTCTTGTAATTATACTTTCATCAATTTGCACATGATCAATACCACCTGGTAGAAATAGTTGTGGTACATTCAAATGTTTCCAAGATGCAACATCTCGAATAAATCAATAAATTTGACACACTGTTGTCTTTTATTTAATAATAGAAATGCTACTCTTGGTGGCACAAGACAGTCCCAGAAATATATCAATACCATAATGTTCCTTATTGGAACATGCATATTTTTAAAAAAGATCCCTTTAAAATACTATATCGCTTACGACAAATTCGATAATAAAAAGAATGACTCAAATTTCTATCATTTCTTTTAATTAACTTACAAATGGGTCTACAAGATCGAGTAGAACACCATAGGCTTTTTATAAGACACTCAAATCACTTTGATGTCATCCATCCAAAATCATTAAAAATATCTTCAATATTCATCTTTACAACTTTTTTTAAATTCAAAATCTTGATTACCACACATAAAGAGCAACTGTGAATCAAAATATACTACACTTCTGTCAAAATAAGTACTTTTCAACATCCACAATAAAAAAAAGGTCCAACTTAGAAGGGCCATATTTTTGAATTTTGTCTATAATCCACATTTTTTTTTTTAGTTAATAAGTATAATAATATTAATAATAGTTTATTTGTCCTTTAGGATCATGTTACATGATATAGGATAAGTCATGTCATAATATATATATATGAATAAAAAATATTAAAATACAAATAAATAGAGGTACAGTATACAAAAAAATATATATATATTTATATATAAGACATGCACATTAAAAATATACAATTAGTAGAAACATTTACCTTAAAATATGGTGGTATTCAGATAAATTATAAAAACATGAATCTACTAAATAGTTTTTAAGTTTTCTTTTAAAATGTTCATATTTCTTTTCAGATTTAATGAAATCAGGGAATTGATTAAAAAATTTAATTCCAACAAATTCAGGCGATTTCTCAAATAATGCTGTTGAATGTCTTGGTGTTCTGAATAAATTTGCATTCCTAGTTGAGTATTCATGGTAATTTGAATTTTGTAAAAATTGGTGTATGTTGCGTTTAGCATATAGCAATGTTTTATAAATGTAAATACAGGAAAATGTTAATATTTTAAATTTTTTGAAGTTATATTTACAAGTTTGCATTAATTCTAGATTAAAAATAAGCCGGATTATTCTTTTTTGTAAGATAAATACTTTAGATGCATTGACTGCATCACCCCAAAGAATATGTATGATATATGAGAATATGCTATAGCATAGTAGACATTAAGCAGTTGCTCTTGGGTAAATATTGATTTTAATTTTAGATATTTGGCTATCCCAACCCATATTGCTATCAATATGTATGCCCAAAAATTTTGTAACATCTGAGAGCATAATTTCTGCATTATTGACATTTATTTTACAATTCTGGGTAATTTGATTTCTGGAGTATAACTGAAGGCAAATGGTTTTGTTTGAATTAACAATGAAAGAATTTCTATAACACCATGATGTAAATTCATTAGATAAAACATTTAATTTACTAATTAATTAATCTACTGATTGTGCGTTGGTAGCAATTGTTGTGTCATCTGCATATAAAATTATGTTTTCTGAGTTAATATGATTAGGCATATCATTTATGTAGCATAGAAAAATTAGAGGTCCTAAAATTGATCCCTGAGGCACACCCACATCAACACTTTCTAGTTCAGACTTACAATTTCCGACTTTGACATAGAACTGTCTGTTATTTATATAAGATGACAACCAAGACAAAAAGTTACCTCTAAAACCAAGCCCTTCCAATTTTTGAATAGCGACATCTAAGTTGATTGAATCAAACGCCTTTGATAAATCAAAGAAAAGCGCACCCACAAACAACTTTTGATCGATAGAAGTATGCATGAAATTAAAAAGATCTATTGCTGCACTTTCAGTAGATTTTTCTGGAAGGAATCCATTTTGTTTTTTGCATATTAGTTTATATTTTTTAAGAAATATTAGCATTTTTTTATGGATACACTTTTCAAAGATTTTGCTTAAGATTGTAGGCACTGTAATAGGTCTATAATTATCAATTAAATTATTATCACCTTTTTTAAAGATAGGAGTTACATATCCTACTTTCAGATAATCTGGGAAAATACCTAGCTGAATAGACTGATTGATTAAGTCTGCTAGAATTTGAGAGATGTGATGACTAATACGTTTTATTATCTTTGTGGAAATGCAGTCAATGCCCATAGAGTTAAAAATTTTTAATGAGCCAATAACTTCAATTACATCACGATGATCAACAGGAGAGAAGTAAAAGGTCTGAAAGACACATGACGCAGTAACATTTTTAAAATTCAAATCATTGAAATGAGACTGTAGTGCATTTTTTGTGGAGGTGGCAAAATGCTCTGCAAAAACTTTAGTTATTTGTTTTGGTTTAATAATTGACAGTCCTCCTACTCCAATTTGTTTAATTTGAGAACCTTTTGATGTTTTACCATCTTGGTGATTTACCTGTTTCCATATATATTTTTGTTTTTGCTGAAAAGTTTTATTGTGCAATCCTTTTTGAAAATGAGATCTTTTTGCTCCATTTATATGTAAACTATGTTAATTAATTTTAATTGAAATAAATCTGATTTTAATATAGAATCGAATTTAATCGGTGTTAAGAATAATAGTACATAAAATGAAACGTATCGAATGAATGCCTATCAAAGAATGCCGTGCTAATCACCAAATATTCTTATGTGTCCCAGTTCGACGTATCGTTCTACGAAATATGAGTAGCACTCGTGAATCATGACAGGGTGGTCCTAGCCTAGCGATAAACGAAACATCCGAGTGGTTACAGTCGGCTAACCTGATAAATTTTCGCGTCCTCGCGAAGAGTAATCTGTAACATACAAAACAAACAAAATATTAATTAAACTGAAATTAATGAATGTGAGCGCGAATATTTCTATAACAAATATACGGCTCCACTAGTATCGCTTTCCGAAACTTTCGTAACAGTTTCATTTTATCTGAAGGACCAATGCCCGTATAAGCTGTCCTACAACGTTTGGACCCTGGCAGTTCGTCAACCACGTACCGATCGTCATCGAGTACTTTCGTAACTAGGGTCCTTTATAACAAGCTTCCTGCTTCGTCCGTCATTGGAGCCTTTATTTGCTTGGCCAACCTTCAATTTTCTTAACTGGGCATGCTCATTATCGTAACACATATTTTGGTACCTCTGCGCATCCTATCGGGGTTATGATGGACAAGCAATGCTATTCCTAACTGACAGGCCATTTGTAAACATATTGTTATTTCTATGTGTTTACAAAATAACAGACCTGTCAAAAACAACACAAGTTGTCAATCATAAACCCCTTTATCTTTTCAGAAAACTTATTTCTGATCATTTCCAAATCTGGACATTCGTTATCGTCACAGACTTCAGCCGTCAAACATCATTAACTCATCCAGGACCATCGAGATAGAATGAAGTAGAGACGACATAAACACTTTTTTGCCATATAACAGATGAACGAACTTCGAGTAATGGAAAAGTGTAATGAATATGACGACTTAAGAGTCGTACGTTGATTTATTTGAATTCAATAATTTTATGTTTGAAGATTGACGAAACAAAAATGTTTTTATATCACTTAATTGAAGTTATTTTACAAAAAGGCATTTATTCTCACCAACAGTGACTAGTATCGTGATAGTATCTCCTCTTCGTTCCATCTCAACATCCAAATAGTTCGAAGAGAGTTTTCCCTGTAGTGGAATTAACTGTCAAATTAATTCCCCATTTTACATCTGCTACAGCTTCGTCTAACGATTTTCGTCATTAGTTGAAGCTATAACTGTTCACTCGTTCTACTTGGCCGTAAGCCCGATGAGTCGAAGTAGTACATACTACATGTTTAACACTTAAAGTTAAACACACTTATTTAACACATAAAAACACACTTGTTTAACACCTAAAGTTAAACAGTATTCCTTAAAATTCTTGCTCGTAAAATCAGTGTCACGGTCGCAATAAACCTGCAGGAACACCGAACATTTTAAATTCATCTATAAATTTCAGTTTTGTATTTTTGTATCACTTTTAAAAATACAAATTTCGTTAAGCCGTTAACTGCTATGATGAGATAGGAGTTTTTCCCAATACTCTTATACAAATTTCTTAAAGCTGATAATCGATATGATCAGATACGAGTTTTCCTAACACTTTTATACAAATTTCTTAAAGCCGTTAATTGATATGATGAGATACGAGTTTTCCTAATACTTATGCAAATTTCTTAAATCCGTTAATTGGTATGATAAGATACGAGTTTTCCTAACACATACAAATTTCTTAAAGCCGTTAATTGATATGATGAGATACGAGTTTTCCTAACACATATACAAAATTCTTAAAGCCGTTAATTGATAAATGACCTATCATGAGGGTGATGCAATTTACTAACATTAAAATTATTATAAACCATCTCTTTCCTTTTGCTGTTTTTTGAAAGTCGTCTATTCTTTATACAATACTCTTTATAAATTTGTCGTTCGTCTTTCGTAATTTATCTCTAGGATCTCGTGACAAAACATTCATAATATTGTTACAAGCATTGTCTTGAAGTTGTGTTAAAAGTATCCGGTTATCCTCCTTAATATTTACAATCATTACGTCAAGTGATTGATCCATGGGTATAATAGTGCTTCGGCCCAGATCGTCTACGTGGCTGATCTTAGTACCCACACGGTATTCAATACCAATATCGAATTCTTGAATTAATAACCACTATCTTGCGATGCGAAGAATTAAGTCTCGTTTCACACGGGTGTTACAAAGTAAGTTACAATCGGTGACGATTTTAACTGTATGCCACTTAAAACTGAACTTTTTAAATGCGCGTACAGCCGCCAAAATTTCAAGCTCATGAATAATATTTTCGCTCTTCTTTGGTTGTGGCTCTACTAAATATTATACTAGCCTAAAGTGCTGTCATTTTAACGTTATAGAAGTATTCCTACTGGTCCGACGTTACTGATGTCACAATGTTTTTTAGTTTTCACTTATCTGTTATAAATAGCATGTATGGATCGTCCTACTAGCTTCTTTATTTTTAAAATCGCTGAATTTCTTTGACATCCTTAGGTGCTGCAAAATCTACTACCATGTCCTTGGTGTGTCGTCTGCAATTCCGATTTGGGCGTCCTTTGCGGGTGTTTCCTCATCCTGTCTCTTTCTAGGGGTCTTTCATCCTCCTCTCCGTTATGGGTCTTCATCCTTCATCCACCGGTCTTCATCATCCATTCTCCGTTGAGGTCTAAATATTTTGTTCCTAATCCTTTGTAATACAGCAGGAGCATTTACCAAATCAAAAGTCATGCAGTATGAACCGTACATTACAGTTTTGCTATCGTTTAATGTGATCAACATTTCCGTAACAGTCATTTTAGCAACCTTTCGTAAACTAGTAGCGAAACAATCCCCATACTCGTTAAGTAATTTAAGTAATTTAGAATGTTTAATTCTATTTAATACTGAATTAGTTTGTTCCTCAAGATCAAATAACGTAAAATTTGGTAATGCAGCAATATCTGTTGCTTATCAAGTTTTAAAAGGAAACTCTGGTACAGGTGTAACCTCTAGCAAGTATTCTGTCTTTTTCATAACAAACAGATTTATCGGACATATTGGCAACATGAATACAGCAACAATTACGTTAATAACACATGGTAAAATAATATGAAAATTATTATCTTACTTTCTATATCTTAAATCAACAAAAACATCTTAGATCTACAAAAATATCTTAGATCAACAAAAACATCTTAGATCTACAAACATATCTTAGATCAACAAAAACGTCTTAGATCAACAAAAATATCTTAGATCAACAAAAACACCCTTAACGTTTTCATTTTTAATTGGAGAAATGTCACCTACAAAATTCTGCGGAATAATAGTAGTTTCTTCTACACATAAATTAATTTTCTTAGACAAAAACTCGTTAATATGTGTAACGTTGACGTTATTTTAAAATAAAATATGTCATACTTGGTTGCATCTAACGAAAACTGTAACCATATCATTATTAACAAAATGGCTAACCTACAATAACAGGGACATCCTGTATATTAACCGGTACGTCATCGGTAGCAGTAGCTAAATCAACATTCAAAGTTGTCGTAATCTTTGAAGGTACTATAACAAAATCTCCCGCATAACCACACAAACGTAATAATGTGGGCTGACCCTGTAGATGCAACTTGACTGCATCCGATTCACGAATTGTAACTGCATCACAACCCGAGTCTACAAAGCCTCGTATATATTCACCATTAATAACACAATCAATAAAATAGCAAGTACTAGACGCCTGATTATTAGATAAAATTAAAATTGGTTTCGACTCACCCTTATTTTGTCATCAGCTGGTCTTTTACTTACATTTATGCACAACGTCCTGCTTCGTGTCCTAACAGATATCTGTGCATTCAACGAGTGGTTTCGGACACTTTGACTGAAAATTACATTTATTTTTACATTTATCATACTTTTAAAACATCAGGTTTTGTATACGGTTTAGTACTTCGTGTATTCGAAAGTGAATAACCTAACTCCACTTTCAGGAACGGCTTTATCAAACCCTCTGTTTTTTTTTGAGTCGATACTTCAATGATACTTTCCTTACGTAGCATTGGCAGGTATCCTTCAAACAATGCCTCTGGTTTTTCGTAACGACCAGCGCGAGCAGAATTGTGGATGGTTACTTATGATTTCGTCTTAATATTCTCTCTATTACTGTTTCAAACTGTCTAATTCTAGCTTCATATGTAACACTTGCACTTTTTGACTGGAACAGGAATATAAGCCATGAGATGCGCTTTGTACTATATTTTCTCGCGATATACTTAACTATCGCTTCTTTTTACGACCCCCTTCGTTAAAGGGTGACCTATTGTCACTATTGTCTCGTCTCGTCTCGTCGGAATATAATTACGTTCAGATCGTACATCTACAGAGTCTAAAATCTTTGCTCATTGTTCTTAACACGATCAAAATACCAAGTTCTTAACACTATCTTAACACGAATCACTGAATAACTTAACTAATGATATCCGTTTTAGTTACGTAACAACTTAAGTTTCTGCACGATCGTAAAGTATTTCACTTACGCCACGTACGTTTTTCTATAACAAAGGTAAGCAGTTAGTTCACCCCACACCTGAACTGTAAACTATGTTAATTAATTTTAATTGAAATAAATCTGATTTTAATATAGAATCGAATTTAATCGGTGTTAAGAATAATAGTACATAAAATGAAACGTATCGAATGAATGCCTATCAAAGAATGCCGTGCTAATCACCAAATATTCTTATGTGTCCCAGTTCGACGTATCGTTCTACGAAATATGAGTAGCACTCGTGAATCATGACAGGGTGGTCCTAGCCTAGCGATAAACGAAACATCCGAGTGGTTACATATATTACTGACATATTGTCTCTTTGGTTTTTTTGTATCTAATATGTATATTCACATCATTAGAATTTTTTTACTAACCAAAATAAATTCCTTATATCAGCTCCCATCCTCAAAATATCTGGAGTTATCCAGTTATTTTTTTTATTTGTCTTTACAGCTCTTGTGACAATCGGACAATTTACTTCTATATAGTAATTTAGAATATTTAAGAATGTTTCATAGGCAAGATTTATGTTATCAAAATATTCATACATAGAATCAAAATTTTCAGAACTTATTTTTTGCTGCAGATTAAGTAAATTCGCCTCTGATAAGTCTCTAAAATGTATTTTTTTATTGATACCAGTTACATAACATTTTTCCTTTATATAATTTAATGACACGTCAATTGCTATTTAAAACATATATCAAACATGTAATTTTGTGACACTAAAGTGATATGTCACCTCGCATTTTAGAAAAAAGTGGAGTTTCACAATTTTCAATGTACACTAATGATATACACATTTAAATCATAGTGGGGCTAATTTTGGACTGTATTTTCTAGGTCACAGTAAGATATACTGTATACTTCCACTTTTCATAATAAATTAATGAGAAAATTATAACTAAAGCATAAATACAACCAAGGGTTTTGAGCTTTTGAATAATTTATATCAATCATAGGTTTATTTATAATTAATTACTCTTTGCTTCCAATATTTTTTGAAAACATAAGTAGATAATGAACAACAGTTTTGAGTAAATTGCAAACGATTGCAATAAACTGTTTTCATCTGGAACTTCCTTATTTAATTTTAGATTTCTATAATACATAACAAAAACAGGGATAAAAAAAGCAACAAAACCTTTATCTACTTAGATTTTCATTTCGGACTTAGAGTATTTAGTTTTATTCTGGAACTTTTCCTACAGATTTTTTTCAGATTATCAGACCAGCCAAATCTTCTAACATAAAAGAAAACAAAAAATGTTGAAACAAGCTGTGTACCTTAATAATATTTTGCATTTTTTAGTTTGTTGAATCTGATGCTGATGAAGAACTCCTATTCAATATCCCTTTTGTCGGCAATGTCAAGTTAAAAGCAATCAAAGTTATTGGCGAGGATTCTGATACTCATCCTTCTAAAATGAGACTGTAAGTAATATTACGCTATTATTAATTTATTTTATAAAATTCAGTTTTACAATAAGTCAGTATTGTATAAAAAATAAAATTATACAAAAAAAAGTGATATATTTGATAGTAGCCGTTATTAAATATACCTATAATCAAGTATGCGAGTTGCTGTCAACATAAAAGAATATCAAGCACCAGGCATTCGATTTGAAATAGTATAACTAGTTGACTTATTTGGTTGTGATTGGTTCTAATGATAACGTAAATTGCGATGTGATTGTATAAAATGTCAAAGTTGACAGGCAAGGAAAATAATCAGTTTAATTTATAAGTACATTAACGTGATATAGTTTGAGAGATGGGCATTTTAGACTATTACATTTATATGGCATATTGAGTTTTATATTGATTAAGTAATACAGTTATTACAAGATACTATGTTAATTGAACAGTCTTTTTTAGGGTTCCGTACCCGAATAGGTAGACAGTTGAAAATTTTACAAAATGTATATTTCTGTTGCCGCTATAGCAACAAATATTAAAAATAAATTAAATGACCTTCTCTACTAGAAAAGTGTTTTTTTTTTGGCTTTTTTTTGCTCGATATTAATCAAGTATTTAAAAAGTACCTACATAGTATTCGTATTAAATCTTGTATGATGGTGAAGAACCATTCATGCGCGATTCCGATTCGCACTTGTTCATTTTTTTATGATCTTCCTAACAATTAGGGCTCACTATTCTATAGTTTCAATTTTCTTGTTTATGGTTTTATTGATTTAATAATTTAAATAACTATTTAATAATAAATTTTAGGTTTAAAAATCGTCCGTCTATGACTTTTGATGATAGTAGTGTCAAAGCAGATCAAGAATTTGAATTAGTTAAAGATACTTCTGGATTTGCTGAATACACTACAAAGTAAGTTATATCAATTTTTAAATTTAAATAAGGTAAGCTGGGGTAAATGCAAATTTTTCCTTGTTAAGTAAAACTATCTATAAATGTATTTATAGCAGTATATTTATTCAATGTGTCTCTGTTTTGTTTTTAGAATATATTTTTTTAAATGATGTCAACATGTTACATTTGCCCCTGAAAAAGGGGTAAATGTAACACACATGAGCTTCAGGTGCGGATAAACGTTGTATTATTGGCAGAAAGGGGTAAATGTAAAAGAAATATATATTATGAAAAATTTTGTGCAAAAATTATTTAAATCGGTTAATATTTAAGAAAGCAACAAGCTTTTCAAAAAATACGTGCAAAGAAGTGGCATTTATTAAAACACAAAAATAGAGAGAAAAATCGAAAATTTATTACATAAATGACAAAAAAACCTCCAACAAACTCTTTTCCCTCAAAAATAGCAACCCTTCTAAATGCAACCTAAAAAAGCTGATTTATTAAACATTTTAGCAGCTAAACCTCAAGTAAAACACCGAAATATTTATAAAATTAACATATACATCTTGAGGTGTTAACTAAAATTTTGACATGAAATAACTAAGTAAGTAGTTTAAATTGTAAGACATAAAACAAAAAGGTTACTCTATTCAAGTTACAGAAGATGTTTATAAGAAACATTTTAAATATTAAATCCATCAAACAAGATATTAAAATACAATAACCTTCTGCTATCTTCGAGTGGTTCTGGCAAAGTCAATGCAATATCTGCTTCGTTTACCGTGTTAATATCGTCTGCAGGAGCCAATAAAATCTTATCGTATCTTGTCGTTTAGTTGAAATTCGTTTTAAACATTTTACTTCCCATTCATCTTCCACACGTCGTGTTACACGGCCAACATAGTGCTTCGTGTTCTTCTTTGACGTGTACTTTACTAAAACCCATTTCATTTCCTTTACTTCTTGATTTAATTCGTTTTCTTCTCTGTCCTGAATTTCCCTTTCTTGCACTATATTCTGTAGGAACTCCCCTTCATTATCTGATTCTCTGTATTCTATTTCTTCCTCTTCGTCTTCATCATTGCTACTAATATCTTCCTTCTTGCGGCACCTTGATTTAACTGTGTTTTGTTTTTTGAGTTGTTTACCCTCTTTAGTTTTTTGTAGACGCTCTAACACATCTTGAGACGTTAAGACTTCTGAGCCTGTACCTACTCTCTTGCGCCGTACACTTTCTGGTCGAGGGCTTTGCTTGATCATTTCCAATAGCAATGTTTCAAAGTTTTTTGCTCCATCTTTGATGGTATTTGCAGTAGACGACGTTGATGGCAGTGGTTCTGCATTTGAAGCTAAAGTACTTGTTTCATTAACAGATCCTATAATCTGGATGTTTTCTGTTTTATCAGAATTGGTCCCTTGGTTTATTTTTATTTTGTGCCAACGACGTAAAGCCTCTGGAAAAATTTTTTCATCTGGTATGACTGTTTTGTCTCCAGGTGTCCCTTAAAAACTTTGAAAATAGAGATTTTGGTGGCTTGCGTCCAATATTTTGGCGTTGCCTGATACTAGTTTTTCATCCCATTTGTCTTTAAAAGGCTTAAATACTGACAAGTCTAACGGTTGAAGCAAATGGCTGCTGTGCGGAGGTAATTTAAGAATTGTTATGTTTTCTCGAATTGCTAACTGTATTACCTCAGGGCTAATATGAGTCGAATGTCCATCATATAGAATAATAGCAGGACGATTTTCACCCAGAGTTGGTAAAACAGTGCGCTGAAAATAGTTTTTAAATATCTGTCTCCATCCAGCCCTTTTTTGATGCCGCGTTAACAGTTCCAGGGCAACCAGATCCTTGCGGAGCATACCATTGATCCCACATGTGTAGGCCTTTATAGATAATTAGTGGCGGAGCCTTTTCGCCTGCAGCATTCGCCATTAATAAAATTGTTGTGTTTTCCCTCCCTGGACCACTAGTAATTCTGGTTGCAGATTTTCCCTTTCCCCCCATAACACCGGTCTTGGTAGGATCAATACACAGACTGGATTGGTCAATATTCCAAATATTAGATGGCTTGTCTCTAATTTGAAGGTTGTCTAATGTTGTTTCGAGCAGATCAAAATATTCAAAAATTGTAAAAGGATCTGCAGCTTTTTGCCTGGCGTACACCATATTTTGTGGCTTTTTTATGCTTAAGCCATGTCGTTTTTTAAATCCAATAAACCAGTCCTGTCTTATTGACTGATTTTTGGAGGGGGTTGGTAAATTATTTGATTTCATATATTGTCCCACAAGGTGTAGTACCTCCTTCCTCGACAAACCAAAGCCCCATTTTTCTAGTGTTTTCAGTCCGGTGGCTAACGTCTGTTCAAGTTGTGGTGAAAGAATCGTGTGACGACCTTTTCCTTTTTTTATTTGCCCGCGGGAACCTTTACAGTTAGTGTATATTGTTGAATAAGGTACATTAAATACCTTTGCAGCTTTCCCAGCAGTCAAACGACCTGCCTTTACTTCCAAAATGGCTTCTTTTAAGGTATTTTCATTATAGGTAGGGGGCCGTTGGTCTTTTTAATATAGTTCCTAACCATGACTCCTAAAACGAAGAAGATACTATTGGAGCAGCAACCTTTACAATTTATCAATTTTTTTAGCGGTAAATGTAACATGAGCTGTTGCAATTGACCCTATATAACATTTTACATTAGCCCCAATCACATTTTTTTAGGGGCAATTGTAACATCAACAATAATCATTACTAAAACAAAAATGCTGCTTAAAACATTTTTACACAATAAACATACCACCTAAAGTGTAATTCTAAGATCAAACTTACCTGTCTAATATTTACTCAGTACTAGAAATAGGCTATGGCTCTTATTAACTAGAACTGAAAACTGCAGCGTAAAAATCACTATTACTTTGATCGTTTTTAACAACAGAATAACAAGTTGCAGCAAAGAGTGGTCAGTCTAGAATAGAAGCAGCATACTCCCTCACAACAAAACATGCTCATGGCGCCCTCTCAAACACATCTACAGAACTGTTATTACTGAATAATACATTTACCCCATTATTACATTTACCCCAGCTTACTTTATATAAATGGTCAGTGCCAAATTGTTACTCTTCACTAATATTTTTTATAAAAGAGCAGTAAGAAAATTGATGGAATTTAGAATATTATGAATCAACTACATAGTCATTATGAAATCAGATAATTATTTTATAATTAAAAGTCTATAAAGATTGCTTCAAAATAACGCTTTAATACAATCATTTTAGTACAGATTTTACACAAAATTTTTAAATACATATATCCTAATAATTTTTCGTTTTAAATACAAAATATAAACAATATGTCCCAAATCTGTGATGGCTTGACCTAAGCAGTCCTTTTATTTTGCTTACAAAATATAAAGTATAGAAAACATTAATGATATTGCTTTCTTTATTTACTAGGTTGATTCTTATTTTTAATTTAATATATTAAGATACGAGAATATTTTTTATAATAACTAAAATTATTTGTTATTTACAGTTTGTATTTTTTTAAACGATATTGGACCAGCACCAGCGTGTCATTTTATTCATACAAATATTTGTTGCTCAATTTCTTCATGCATATCTAACAATCTTTTAAAAATATTAATTTTAAATTTCTAAATATGTGATTTTATTACGATTCAATTTTCACTTAAATATTTGTATATCTTTCCTGAATTCTTTATTATTACTTTTTAAAAATGTTTAATTGAATCAATAACAAAATTATTTTTTAGGGTCGTCACATTTAACAGTGTCAATCATTTAACATTGCATTTTCCAACGAATTTTGGGGCCGAAACTACTAAAATATATTACATAGGTCTTAAGGGAGAATTTACTGAAGCTCATCATCATGGCGTAACAATATGTACCTATGAGTCTAGACCGATGCCACAGGATCACAAGAATCCACTGACTGAATTTTCTCAAGCACGTTTAGGACAATAAAAACTATAAACTATTGCTTGTCTAAGAATATTTGGCTGTGAACTGTGAAGGTTAAAACGTTTTGATAAAGAATAAAATTTCAATTGCTTTCTTACATTTATGTTCAAAAATTAAATACAAAAATTTCCTACTTTGTTTATGTTTGACACCTTTAGTGATCATGTCGACTCCTTTTTTTTATTTATTTCAACTTTCGGTATCTGGACATTTTACACGTAAAGTTTTTAAGGTTATATAACACTGCAAGCTTACGAATACTTAGGCTGGCCTATTATTTATTTATTTATAACCATACAGACAAAGGCCTTATTACATGGTAAAAAAATAATACATAACTTTATGGTGTCAATGTTGGTAAAATTTGCTGTTTGTCTTATTACATATCCCAATGCCTTATTGGCAGCGGAAACTATGTTTTCTAAGTGTGTAGCATCCTACCAAGGTATCTCCTCCCATCTCATATTCGAATACAATTGCTGCTCATTACTAATTACTTTAAGTAAATTATATCAATGACTATTTTATTAATGTAAATAAAAATAATATTGTGCCTGACTATACTATGAGTCATGAGTATTGATAAACATCATAAAAGTTTTTTCTTTTTCCAACAACTCCTAGTGAAATCATCACTATAATCAAAAAAACTACTTCTAAACCCACTGAAGGTATTGACGAAATAAATGGTAAAATTCTGTTATCGGTTGCTCATTGTATTGCTGAACCCATATCACATTTGATTAATGAATCCTTTGTTAGAAAACATTCAATTTAAAGATGTGATAGGCTGTTTTAAAAAATCAATTTGGAATACGTGGTCAGAATACTGGACAGTTCTTAAAAGAAACTCGTACGGTAATAAGTTTACCAGAATTTTGGAAGAATATGTGGTAAAACTTGACAAGTATGCCGAAGGAAAAGTAAAGCTATTAGAAATCTTAAACATACAAAGTGAATTAATAAATAAAAAGCAATTAATAGATAAACTGGTTAATGAAATTAAAACCAATATGCAGTAATATGAGAAGTCTAATTAATGTACTAATAGACACCAAGATTCTATTTTGGAGACCACTAACTAACAAAAGAGTTACAACAAAAGCAGGTATGTTAAAAATGAAAAAAGTCCTAGATCAGGTCAGTTGGGATGTCTTTGAATCGGAACTAGATGTACATGTGTTAGCTTCTCACATAATAAATATCTACAACAGCATTATTTGCAATTCTTTTCCTCTTAAGAAAGTCACTACTAAAATTAAAAAAATGTTCAGTAAACTGGTATAACGATATAAGGCAAAGTTTGTATAGTTTAAAAATTGTATCTGAGGTTAGCAGTGATTCTAATGATGTAACAGCATTACCTATACAGAAAAAACTATAATTGTCATTTAAAGAACACATAAAAGGTAGCTTACGACAATTACAGACATGGTTGGGATAAAGTATGGAACCAAGTAAATATCTTTAAAACGAAAAGGCGGTATTTATGAAATTTTGCAGGCAATTACAATGACGCACAACGCATCTGATGCCATATTTTTTGTTACTACTGTTTCACCGAAAATACCCTCAACTTTTTTAATTTAAAGTTTTGTGGAAATTGTTTGTTAAAGTGATACAGGGTGTCCCCTTTAAATTAAAAAAGTTGAGGGCATTGTACTTGCCTGAAAAGTTTCATAAATATCGTCCTTTTCGTTTTAAAGATATTTACTTGGTTCCATACTTTATCCCAACCCTGTATGTTCTCAAACAAACCCAAAGCTTGTTGGAAAATAATAAATTTTGAAAGTAACAAATTTAAAACTAGCTCTCCAGATGTTTTTTAACTTCTAATGAGTTACTCAATTTTTTTTTCTAATGTGGTAGAGAATAAATATAAAGTCATTACCAGCAGTTTCATTCACTGACTAACTTTCAGAAATTTCCCAGCCCCTTGCAGTTCTTTCTTTTTGTTACCAACAACAAATAAAGAAGTTATAAATAGAATTGCTCATCTAAAAAACTCCAATTGTCTGAATGCAAATGAACTTAACAGCTTTATCATTAAAGAAATGGCACCTATTATTAGAACACCCCTTACTACTCATCTTGATTAATTTAATTTTTAATACCGGCATTTTTCCAGACGCTTTTAAGTTTTCCAAAGTTTTTGCCACTACATAAAAACGAAAATACTTCACAAGTGAATAACTTTCGTATAATTTCCATAATATCTATTTTTAGCAAAATAATAGAAAACTTGAAAAATATATTTTTTTTACCAATTTCCAATATGGCTTCCTTAAAGGACGTTCAACTTCTCACGTTATTCTAGAGGTTGTGAACGGCATAGTTGAGGGCTTTGAAGATGAAAAACATACAGCTATTAAACTGTGTGATCTCTCGAAGGCTTTCGACTGTGACTCTCACAACATTCCATTAGAAAAGCTGTGGTATTATGGTGTTAGGGGGACGTCATTATTATTAAATAAATCCTATTTAACTGTAGTCTACAATAATTCCAAGTCTGACTTTAATTTAGTTAAACATGGTGTGCCACAAGGCTCTGTTCTTGGTACTCTGTTATTTATAATTTATATTAATGATTTGCCTAGTTTTATACGACCCTATAATTCTGTATTGTTTGCAGATGATACGTCATACATCTACTCTGATAAAAATATCCCAAATCTTATGAAAATTTCTGAAGACAGATTTTAAATCGAAATTGTGGTTTATGGCCAACAAAATTAAATGAGGACAAAAAACCTTCCTAATAATATTGTCGCTAGTGGTGGCATTTATCGCATAATATTTTAATACATATGAATGACAAGTTTTAAAATATCGAATGAGTTTCGCAAAGCGATATGGCAACCTTACATTCTAGAATAACTCTGACAATGTTGGTCTTGCTTACAGAGGGAGTAATGTTTGACTTTCACAGTCAAAATAAAACGGGAATTTATATTGATAATTAGACACTCAAACTTCACGGTTCGAAAACTACTATGGTTACCTCTTCCCGTTGCTAAGGAAAGGTGTGACGCCACAGAATTACAAAGCGAGGTGACAGAAAGTATTCTGCTGTATAAGGATAAATTTCCTGACCTTAGTACAATTTTATATAAATATAAATTGTTCCTTGGTTTTTTCGGAAATAATAATTATTTCGAATACGCCTTCACACGATATGAAATCGAAAGATGGGGTGCTATTATTTTAAAAATTTTAAAACTATACATATATAAAGCTCGAAACAGACCGTTTAGGTCTATGGCCTGGTTAGTTTCTTCCATTCGCCCCTGTTCTTGGCTTTTTCTTTCCAGTTGATGATCTTTTTTTCCTTAATATCTTCTATAATCGATTCCCTCCTTTTCCTTCTAGGACTTTCTCTTTTTTTTTTTCGGTGGTGTCCAAGCTACTCTTTTTACTGTCCTTGAGTCCTCCATCCTTTTTAAGTGATCCAACCATTGTAACCTTTTTACTGTATTATTTCGAATATGTTGGGTTCATTAAATATTTCGTAATTTCTTTGTTTGTTCGTCTTTCCCATCCTTCTTCTGTCTTTTTGCCCCTATATATATTCTTCTTAGTATCTTTTGTTCCCATATTTCAATCTTGGTCTGTTCTTTCTTATTTAGTGTCCATGGTTCACTGCCGTATTATAGCATTGTAGGTCTGATTATTGTTTTGTACACACATTTCTTTATTTCCCATGACAGTTCTTTAGATTTAAGTAAATTATGTAAAGCTCCAGCGTATCTATTGCTCTTTGCTAGACGGAGATCTATTTCAGCTTGTTCTTCGCATCTATTTGTAATGAGGATACCGAGGTACATGTAACAGTTTCGTCTATTGTTATTTTTCCTATGTCTTTAGTGTGTAATTCTAGCTTTCCAGGATTTTTTTAAATGTTTGTTTTTGAGTTGCATGTACTGACTGTTCTTTTCATTTAGTCTTGGCCCCATTGTTCCTGCCATGTCTAATAACTCTTCTGTTTTTAAGTTCTTTTTGGCTTCTTGATAATAGTACATCATCTGCGTATGTTAATGCTTGGTGGGATCTGTTCATCAGGGTTCCATATCTGTTTATTCCACTGTTTCTGATGACTTTTTCAAGGTTTAAGTAAAAAGATAGGTGGATAATGGGTCTCCCTGCCTAAGACCGTTTTGAACTTCAAAATCTTCGGTTTCCTCACCTGCTACTCTTATTGCACACCTTGTACTTTCCAGGCTCATGTTCGTCAGTTTTACAAGTTTAAGAGGTATTTTTAGTTCTTTCAAAGCATTTACCAATTTTCGTCGATTTACTATATCATATGCGCTTTTAAAATCAATAAACATAATATGGGTCGGTATTTCGTATTCGTAGCAACATGTAAGTACCTGTTTTAAAATAAAGATTTGGTCAGTCGTTGACCTGCCTTTTCTAAAGCTGCATTGGTATTCTCCGATAATTTCTTTTCCTTCTATTCTTCTTTTTATTAACGTGGGTAGTACCTTATATGTAACGTCCAGCAAAGTTTTACCTCGATAGTTTCCACAGTCTTCTGGGTCCCTTTTTTATATATGGGCAGTATAACTGCTTTCCTTCAACTTAGTGGAATTTCTTCCGCTTTTCATATTTCTTTGATAAGTTGTATTATTTCTGTTATTAGTTGTTGTCCTCCATATTTTAGGTTCTTTGCGGTAATTTTGTTTGACCCGGGGCTTTTATTATTCTTCATATTTAAAATAATTTCTATTATCTTCTGTTGGTTCCTCAGCGGTGTACATAGGGTTTTCAATTGCTTCTTCATCTACTTTCTGCCGTTCAGGTTCTTCGTTCAATAATTTTTGGAATTATTGTTTCCGTCTTTGCATTTGCTCGCTTTTTCCTCCTATTAAATTTCCCTCCTTCTATTTTTTGGAAAGTGTTTTTTGTATACCTTTTACATCTTTATAGAAGTGTTTAATTTCATTTTTTTTGCAATTTTCTTGTATTTCTGCGACTTGTTTTTCTTGGTGACGCCTTTTCTTATGTCTGCATATTTTTTTTTGACAGCCTTTTTGTTTTATATAGTTTTTCCGTCTGTAGGTATTTTTTTTTTATTGATATTTTTCTCAGTTGATGTTTTTATGGCATTCTCTTTGTTATTCCTTATCTTCTCTACTATGTTGGCCATGTTTACAACTGGTGTATTGTCCAGACTTCTTTCTATGCCTGCTCTATATCTCCTTAATTTTTTGTGTTTATATTTCTATAATTTGTTTTACTTTTTTCCGTTCTGTTATATTTAAAACTGTATTCGTCCCCATACTTTTTATAAATTGACTGCACCAGAAGATGGAAAAATTGTATTTTCCGAAACATATGTAGTGCTTTAATTATAAAAAAATTAAAACTATTTGACCGAAAAAACCAAGGAACTTTTTATTTATAGAGTGAAAATGTATCAATATTTCGGGAGACGTTCACCCCTCATATTGTCTTTTTATGCAGTTTGCAGTTTGTCAAAAACATAGTTAATATATTCGTGGTTGTACCTATGCGTTTTTAAATTCTTTTTCGGTTAATTAAACTACAAAATATAGGTAGAGAACTTTATTAAATAAGTAAAATATAAAATGTACAAGTGTAATGATGATGAAAACTAAAAAAAAAAAAAAAAAAAAAATCGTATGAACATGTTTGTACTAGGATTATTGGGAATATATCATTCAGCTAAAAGTAAACATTTATTATTTCAATAGAATTACACAACATTTATCTATTTACTAGAATAACAGACATTATTTTTTGTAGAAATATAAACCAATTTACAAAATATTTGCAAATTGTTCTTTTAACATTCATCAGTCATTTTTTTAGGTATAAATTATTTTCTAAATTTAATACATAAATAAAGGAATTATATCGTATGTACACAGTAAAAGTATTCTACTTGAATAACTATGTTTTTAGGTATCTTTTACTATTGATAACTATAATTTTTCATTTATAAAGCACCCTTCCATTAGAATTGAAGTTTTGATTGATTCATTCATGTTCATCATGTATAATTAAAAAAATAAATCAATCACATATGTTTTAATACTTTTAATACTTATTATACAGAGTGGAAGGTGTAACTGGAACAAATTCTGTAACTTAATAAATAATATTTATTTGTAATATGCCCCACTGAAAATAAAAATTAAGGTGTTTCAGAAAGTTTGCAATATACCTTTATTTATTAAGTTACAAAAATTGTTCCAGTTAAACTTCCCACTCTGTATATAGAAATTTGTAATAAAATTAAAAGTTTTGTCATGCAGTATGTGTAAATTTCAGATGGCTTGGTATTTTTTGAGAAAAATAATTTTTCAAGAATTATTTTAATCGTTCTAATGAAAGTGTGCTTTCTCATACAATTTTTTTTTTTTTTTTTTTTTCATAAATATATGGAGCTTTCTATGATATGGACTTGGCATTGCACTCACTAAAGTATGCTCCACAATATAAAATTATTAAAAACAGCAGTTATTTACAAACATGAGCATATATATCGAAACTACTCTTAATTCAGCTTATATAATATAGTAATATTTTTCAACAAAAAAGCAAATTTAAATGAAATAATTTAAATTTTGAGAGAAGTTAAGCTGAATAATAAGAATGTTCATTTATGTTGAAGCGCTCATTTTTAAAAAATATACATATATTTAAACAGTGTTACTGAATAATACTCTTTTTATTTATTATTTTGTGTATTTCAAATTACAATTCAGTAATTATAAGCTATATTTTTGCGACTTACCGTTTGGAACTGTTAATATTGACAAAAAATTGTGTGAGAGGAGTACAGTAACACTTCACTTAGTTAATGTGTGGTAAGTCGCGAAATAAATTATATTGCGGCTTTTTGTTAAAATCCTATATTGACACGTTATTTAATTGTGTTAACTTGTGACGCATTAGTTACACTTTCTGTCTCATTGTCGTTAACGGAGCTATCAGCTAACAAAACGTCTGGTAAAGAACCAGTTCCTTCGGCTATTTCTTCAGGTACTTTTTCGACATTTCCTTCCGTTGTAAAAGGCCGAGATGATGTCGACTCTGTTGTTACGGAACTGGCGTTGGATAATAGGTTGGGATTTGTGAATAAAACTTTATCTATGTAGAACATTGTTCCCAAGTTGTAAACGAAAACTTCACTCTCTACTATTTTGGCATCGTTGATATATACTTCACCTAAAAAAAGAGCTGATTAATTTACAGTGTAAACATTTTAAAATTAAAGGTATAATAAGTTGTTGACAATAGTTTTCATTTTATAAAAACCATCAATGCATTAAAAGCACGCATATTGCATGTCCCTAACCTTGTTGAATCCATGAGTCAGGAACGTAAACGTGCGAACAGTAATTTTTGATAGGGCCTGACTAAGGAACTGCATTATGTCAGATATACTTATCGAGGGCCACAAGGCAGGACCTCGTAAGTCGCAAAATCGACATTTTTCAGACAAAAAAAAAAACGATTCACAAGTGCATATAACAATTTCTTTTACTCTACTGTTTTCTACTGTTTCTACTGTTTTCTGTAATGTAACCCACGTTTTGTTTAGAAATTATAATATAGGTATACTTACTCTATATATACAGTACATGGAGAGCAATGTTTTTAACGAGATTATCATAAAATATAATTTTCAGTGGAAATGTTAGTTACGAGGACCTGCGTTATGGCCCTTGTTAGGTAGTCTTCAACAATATCCGTATCACACATGACTAACTTGATGTCATCAGTTGGCTAAAAGCTTAGATCTAAGGCTAAAAGTGACATTTTACTTCAGTAGGGTTACCCTACCAATATTTTGACCGGGCGCCAGTGGTTGACCACTTCCGATTCTATGAACTAAAATAAGAAAACAAATCCATCGACCAGTAATCTAATTGGATAAATTTAAGCCAATAAGAGTCTAATTTACCTCCTATGCAGTATGTAGCAATTGTCTTCTAGGTTAGTGTCATAGAAATAGTATAGAAAGCCGATTCCATATATCAAAAATGAAACCATAAGGAGAAAATAGTGTGTCGGAGCTCATGCGTATAACGGTGCTGGCGCGAACAGGACCGGTGCAAGTTTTTTATTGATCGAACAAATAGTTCACACGATATTTCAATCATACATTTTTAGAGATGATTCTATACAAAAAACGATTAAAAAAATTTCAAGTTAAGGTAAATATGGTTCTGACAGTCCTTATTAAGAAAGATATGGCATAAAATATGAATTAGTTAATTTTCGGCAACCATTAGTACAGTAGTAATGAGATTTTAAAAATACTTTCCAGAAAAACCACGTGCTCCGGTTTTGACTACGTTTATTATTAAACAGCGAAATTATATACAAAAACTTTAATCCACAATCTAAATTAGGTACTATCACAAGAAAATCACTGTTACAATAATTAATTACTTAACCAAAAACTAAAATACTTTTTAGGTACCTACGTAACCAGAAAGGAGCTGGACCATTTATCCTAATATTGATATTCTCTCTCCCTACGGTAAAACTTAAAACAATAACAAATTGCCTTTCTACTAGGGTCGGTAACTAAACGTATATACATAATGGGCGGATTTTGTTTATACTTAACATTACACTCGCGCATTTAAATATAACTATGCATATAAATATTTATAAACAAAGATACTTTTCCAAACAGGCAATCATTAGTACTGTAGTCACGAGATTTTGCTTGTGATTTGACATCTTATTTGATAATATCATTTGCTACAACTAAATTTAATCTGGGGAGTGCAAAATAGGGCCCAGGAATATTATGTTCGATATTTTTTTACATTTTGTCAGCCGAGACTATGAGTCGTTAGACAGAAAACCTTTCATGTTACCATTTTCAATATAAATTAAAAAATTAAAAAACACTACTACATTTACTTGGTACATATTTTATTTTAATTTTGAACCCTTTTAAAAGGGTCTTTCGGTTCCATAATAAAAATTAGTTGCTGCTTACTAGAAACATTCTATATAGCCTAAACCAATTTATAGTTTGTTTTCGATCAATTTAATACAAAGATTTAAAGTTTTTAGTCGATGATAACATTCCACACCAGCACATTGCAAACCTATTATTTATAAAATATTAAAATTAAAATAATTATTTATATAATAGGAATAAACTTGTAAATCATTAATTTGGTAGTTATCTCACTCAAATGATTTTTTTGTTTATATGAATATTTCGATTTCTAAATATATTTTGGCCTTACAATACGAAGCGTTTTGTATCCTATCACTTTTTTAATGAACGATGAATGTTGACAGGCGTGTACCTTTTTCGGAACAAGAGGCGTTTTAACGAAGGAAATGATTTTCGAACTATCTAGTTAGTTTTCGGAAAAATAGAAAACGTTTGAAGAAAGTTGTCAATAACAGTTTGTCGTTTATGTGTTTCATTTTGATCAGCTTTCATACTAAATTGCGTAGAATATTTTTCCGATTCAAAATCCGATGTGGATTCTCAAACGCGGCATAAATAATAAACTACAGACGGTCCTGTAAGGGCAGCGTCATATAGCCTTGAAACACCGGATTTTAGTGCTATTGCCAGGTCAATATTGAATTTGTAGGTGAATCGCTTATTGAACATTAAAAATACGGTATTAATGACATTAATACGGTATTTGTATATATTTTTGGGAATTTAATTACACATAAATATTATTAGTTGATTATTTAAATGTTTATAAGTTATTTTGTGGCGATATTTCGTAGATATAAACTGTTTAAATCATATAATTTAAAAATTAATTAATTTAAAATTCTTTTCTGTTAGGTATGTTTAATATATTTGGCAACACTACAGGGACAAGTCATGCTTATTGCGCAAGCTTCTAGACACACTATTTTGCGATGTCAGGCGCAGAGACGCGTTTTTATGCACAGTAGGTTTCAATTTCTGCTTAAATGTTATGTTTATATTGGTCTTCTATATTATTTCTATGGTTAGTGTGTTACAGGTAGCCGTTTGAAGAACAGTTCTGTTTTTGCAAGTTAGTGCTGCACTCTGTAGCAGGGGTAGAAGTTGGAAAGGCTTTTGCCAGTTCTCCCACTTTAAACACATAAATTGACAGATTTGCGGCGGATCTAACCGAAGTGGACGCGATACATTGGCATACAAAATTATTTAATAGATGTTAATAATAATTTCGAGTAAATAGTTTAATAAATTGTGAATAGCTGTTGAAATTTTGTAGAATTATGATTTGGATATTATAATACATGTTTAATAATTATTTATAGTCCATAAATACATGCGATTGTCCTGTTTCGCCAGTAACAATTTAAAATTACTTATTCTATGAAACGACACTGGCAGGTAAACATTACTGCGAAATTCTCGAAGCCGTCCGATATGGTTCGACGTTTACCCCCTTTCTACCTACCAAAAGCCTTTCCAACTTCTACTTGTGCTATAATAAGAAAGGTAAGAGAACCTTTTGTTAGAAATATGTCGGTCTTCTCATAATCATGCAGGTTTTTTCAATAAATTTTTGCATCAATATTATTTTTAAAAACTGCTCTATTATATTTTAAAAGTATTTTTCTCACGTGATTGAAATAAGTCATAAAAAAATATTAGTTCGCTAGTTTTTAACCAGATGGTCATTTTCTGAGGATTTATTAAATTTGAGATTTTCTATCTCATCAACCCACCATAAGCTTGTATATTTATTACAGCGTGTCATCTCTTTTTATTTTCGTTCTGTTCAAATTGTCCGCCTTTTTAGACTGGTCAATTACTGCAAAGTCATTTACTGGTAAAGAAATTGAGATTTTTGAAAATTGATTTTTGTTTCAGAAGGCGATAATAAAAGAGTTTTTTCAAGTATACTGAGGAGGATATGACAAACGCTCTTCAAGACAAGAAATTCGGCTTGTTCTATCAGAGAAGCTGAGAGAAAATACAATGTTCCTCATTCCACGCTATTTAACAAATTAATAGACTTCACTCCCGAAACTAGAAAAATGGGACCTCCAACGATATTGACCATACAAGAGGAAGATCTTCTTGAGAAATTGATTATTGCAAAAAAAAGGATTCCTTTAAACAAAAACTCCTTATTCGAGACCGTATCTGATATAATCAAGAATGATCAGAGACTAAATCCATTTAAAGATAATTGTTCAGGGGACAAATGGTTGCAATCATTCTTAAAACGACACCCAAATATTAGTAGGAGACATGCAGAGTCTATCAACATTGCACGGGCACAAGTTACTGAAAAGGCAATACGAGAATGACACGAGGAAATTAAAGAGCACGTCAAATAGCTTGGGTGTTTGGACCTTCTGGAGGATCCTTTCCGCATTATAAACTCCGATGAGTCGGGATTCGAAACTAATCCAAAAACAGGCTTCGTATTAGGAATGAAAAATGTTTACCAAGTAACAAGTGGGTCGGAAAAAGAACAAATAACACCAATGTCAACTATATCTGCAAAAGGAGAGATATATCCTTCAATGATAATATATCCCTATGAAAGAAGTCCCGCAAAAATTGCAGCCATACTCCCCCGGACTGGGTAATAGGAAGATCGAAATCGGGTTGGATGACTAGGCAAGCCTTTCATAGTTGTCTTCCTTTCCTGAAAACAAATAATGTTAAGTTAAGCTGCCTGTTTTGTACCTAGTTGATGGACATAAGACTCATTTAACATACAATGTTCCAAATTTTGTTTTGAAAATAACATTATTCTGTTTGCCTTATATCCTAATGCTACACATATTTTGCAGCCAGCAGATGCAGCTCTTTTTAAGCCACTAAAACAAAATGGGAAAAATACTGTTTATGAGTGCAAACGCACCAATAATAATAAATCTGTATTGAGTTATCTTTTGGAAAAGGCCATGGATGGCGTATCTAGTGAAACTGTTCAAAACGGCTTTCGAAAATGTGGCTTATACCCCTTTGATTCTAATGCAATTGATTTTAGGAAATGCATGTTCGATAACACCAGAAAAGTAGATACTATTGAAGATCCAAGATTAAAAGTAAAACCAACTAATTTTAAAGTTGAACATTTACTGCTATTTAGAATCCACTATGCTGCCTGGCAGAACAGCACAGTTCAGACAAACACTAACAGAGAAAAATGGCGAATAGGACGACGATATAGAGGCTAAAGAACTATTTTACTTGTAGCTGAAACTCAGACAACGCTGCATGGCATTAGAACGAGAAGATACAACTGCTGTTTCAGAAAAAGACGAACAAGAAACCATTGGTCAAAAGAGAAGCACACAAGAACTGATGGAAAACATTGAAATTGACCAAAACGAAACTAAGAAGACTGAATCGAAATATATTCCAAGTGAAAGTGAAAATAATATGGGAAACGAGGGTATAAATGAAAAACCAGATGTTTTATATGTAATTGGAGGTAACGTGAAAAAATTACCACAAGAAAACTGTCCAAATAGAATTAAGAGAAACATTGCCCGAAAATAATGATATTAAAGAAGAAACATCAGCAATTCCAATAAAAAATGCAAAAAAAAACAATCAAAAATAAATATTCTTCAAGATATAGCTTTGTTACCTTCAAAGAGATCTACCAGCAATTCATTCTTTAATCATATTTATTGGCCAGAAGAAACGTCAGAAAAAAAAGAAAGTAAACGAAAAACAACCTCAACACAACCTCAATAAGGTGGCTTAAATGTTATAAAGACAAAGATAATAAAAAGAAAGTCGCAGAGGAATCAAAAAAGCACAGCAGGGCACTGGAAAGAAAACGTAGAAAAGAAAAAAGAAAGAAAAACTAATAATAAAAGGTCAAAGAATGCAAGAAAGAGAAAAGTCGAGAAAGAAGAAACGGATAGCGAAGGGTATCACGGTGAGGAATGCGAAGAGAAAGATACCCGAAAATAATGATATTAAAGAAGGGACATCAACAATTCCAATAAAAAATGCAGAAAAACAGATTGTTACATAACCAAAAATAATTATTCTTCCAGATAAAGCTGTGTTACCTTCAAAGAGATCTATCAGCAATTCATTTTTAGATCATATATATTGGCTAGAAGAATCACCAGTAAAAAAGAAAGTAAACGAAAAACAGAGATACTTCCATATGCCACAACTTCAATGAGGTGGCTTAAATTTTACGAAGACAAAGAGAATAAAAAAGAAAGTCGAAGAGGAATCCAAAAACCAAAGGCCATTTGAAAGAAAACGTAAAAAAGAAGAAAAAGCAAGAAAAACTAATAATAAAAGGTCAAAGAATGCAATGAAAAGTCGAGAAAGAAGAAACAGATAGCAAAGGGTATGACGGTGAGGAATGAGAAGAAAGTGGAACAAGTAGAGACGATGTATTGGATAAATGGGACAACAATATTCCAGAAAAGGGAAAGTTTCTAGTGGTAGCATTTCCGGGAAAGAAAAAATGCATAATTATGTATGTACAGTACAAAATGTAATCAACAATGATGAAATCGAAGTACAAGCTTTATCATCATCAAACGAAGACCAGGCAATTTTTAAGATTATCGATAAGGACATGAGTTTTATTGACAGGAACCAAATAATTAAAAATTGGCATCACCCAAAATAATAACTTCTGGCGTAAGGTTCAAGTACCACTTTCCTACGCCAGTGTTATAAATTTATTAATCCTAAGTAGTTTTATTTCTTGTTTGTGTTTTCCTATAAATATTATATTTTTCTGGTCAAGTATTGGTTATTTATTGGAAAATAATTGATATTCCTCTGATCAAAAAGTGGAAATGTTGTGTTTTTTAGTTTTTTATTTTTTTATTTTTTATTGTACCTACCAAATAGTATTTTTTTTTGTATATACCATTGGTTTCATGTTGTAAATACAATAAAGTTTCAGTATACAAAGCCGTTTTTTTACTGTTTTCAGAAATTCTATTTATTTTTTATAATTCAAGTACGAAATATCGTTAAGTGGTCAATTATTAGCTGGGTAACCCTAGTAACCCTAAAACACACCTAGTGTAGGATTTTGCTGGTCTGGATAGGAAAAATGTATGAGTTGAATGAACGGGCATCCAAATGGTGGCATGAGGCTGCAGTGCCTCCATGCGTATCCCAAAGGAGGGAAAACTTTCTGGAATACAAGCCTTATTGGCAGGACCCTGTCGGACCCTTTAGGGGCAGCATAGGGAACCAGAAAGTGTAAAAACGATTATCTTGAAACAAACAAATTAAATCTCAAATAGGGGCGGTTCAAAGATCCAATTTTTTTTATACTGTTCTGAAACCAATTTTCAAAGATATGCTATTTCTTCATGGTAGTCTTTTGTTTTCATTGGCTCGAACATTAATAAACCATCTGCCAAAAATCAATCGGTGCTTTCAATATGGGTTATTATTAAAAAAATCTTTTCCTGTTGGAAATTTTAATGAACAAGAAACCCTTTCTATAAAGGTTTGTTTTTTAGTTTTGATGGAGGTATCTTGCCAAATTTTTTAGCATTAACCTACGTTTCATCTAAATAAAATAACTGTTTATGCTGATTCCTCCTTGCGTCCGCTATTTTCCTTAAATAATCATGTCTCCACGCAATAAGTTCGTCTTTCTCTGTTAAAAAGCTGTTTCTGTAACGATTTTTGTAAAGAAAATTTAATTCATGTAATATTGTTTGCAGATGAAAATATGATATATTTGAAAGAGTGGGGCAAAATTATCGCTGTCATATCTTATGTGATTTTTTTAATATATATTTTTTTAACTTCTTTGCTCAGGATAGTGATTGGCACAGGTTCCGTTTAGTAAAGTATAATGTTGTTACATGCCTATGGAGCATATTTAATTTCGTTATTAGATGAAGGCCAAAATTTAGAATTTCCTACTATTTGTAATGGCCAAATAATACAATAAAAGTAGATCACAGTGAGTAGGGGAGAGGGTGGAGGGTTCGGCCCCCGGGAGGATTCGGCCACCAGCGATTTAATTAAACTATTTCAAATTTTTATGTGAAACGTCAACGATTTTTAACGCACATAAGTTTGTTTTTGGTACTGACCCGCTTGGACAGTGTCTCAAAAGTGTTTGTTTGTGGTGACACAGTTTTGAATGTTTATAGAGAAAATAAAGTGAGTTTTGCAATTTACAAATTTAGGAAACTCTTGTAAATAGTCAATTTGTAAATATATTTAACTTAGTGCTCGTATTTGGTGGCATATTTAGAGCTATGTTTCACAAATAACTTAACCTTAAATACAAATACTATCTGGGCCACGTGCCATATTTGTGAATTTGGACTAATGACGATGTTTCGGCCCCTAGGTAGGTGGAGGTTTCGGCCACGGCCGAAATCATCCCCATATCTAGTATAATTATTATTTAAACAATCTTCTGTTCGATTTTTTAGATGCCTCGAAAGTATAAACGCAAAACTGACAGGGAAGTTGATGAACTAATGGTAAAAAATGCAATACGCTTCTATTTCACTAATGGAAAAAAATGCAATACGCTTCTATTTCACAAGAGAATGTTTTATATGCAGAAATAATGTTTCTCCATCGGCGACTAGGACTGAATAGATCCCGTTATGCTGCATCGTTGGTTCTAGGAAAGAAACAAAAACGGCAGTTATATTTAAAGCATGATCAAATTTGAAATGTAATTTATGTTTTACTTTTTTATTTTTTATTTATTTTGTTTTGTTTGAGAAATCCAAAACGTTCAATTCAATGTCAAGACAAAACAACAATATCACCTACGCGATTCTGATGTGCCAACCCGGGCTCTACGGAACGTTTTTCAGAGAGTTAAAAATGTCACAACAGAACCCGCAGTTCCTATAGGTCAACCTGATTCAGTCCTAAAAGTTCAAAGTCGCTCAACAAGCGTACTCATGGACAAAAATTGGGAACAAAAAAGACATAGTTCCAGAGATCTGATGAGAGAACATGAATTTAGGAGAAAAAGGAGGTGAAAGAGAATTTTAACCAGCTTCCACGTTCCGATTATTAATGATATATCAATGGTGCAAGTTAATGAAATTGAGGCTAGGCTTGCACAACCACAAAAAGCTAGAACTACACGAACTCAATCACTGTTTTCGATTCAATTATAATTTCCAAGGAATAGATGTTCCTTAAAGCTTACATTTTTCTTCTCAATACTTTTGTTTCAATGTATACTTATCGAGAAAAACTATTTTTTTGCTAAATTGAGGTTATACAACTTTTGTATTAAATATGCCAATATCCATATCTTTTATACTAATTTATTCATAGGCCGAAACCTCCCTCAATGCTGACCGAATCTGCCTCCGGTGGTGGAGGATTCGATCAAATTGTTTATATTTTTATATTTATTGCGCAAAATCTTGGAAATAAGTTTATGTCACTATTTTGGCTTTTAATAGTCTTAGAAATGTCTAAAGATTATGTAGCAATATAAACTTTCAATATTTAACAAGAAATATGAGTTTTATGAGTTCATTTTTACATACTGGCCGAATTATCCACCCTCTCCCCTACTAACATTAAAACTAATTAATATTATTTAAAAAAATACCTTTATCTGTTCTATTCACCGCTATTGTCTTATTTCCCAATGATTCTAGTTGAAGACCATCAGTCAAATCTCTATCGTACAGTCGTCCTTTGACAAAATGATTAAGCAAAATGCGCAAACCATCGCCGGTCGACAAATAATTATCTGGCATTCGGTCCAGTCCAATTTTTTCAAACGCTGTATCGGTAGGTACAAAGAAAGTGTATCCAGTACCAGATACATGCGGTGCTAAATCTGCCAGATTCAAAAATCTTGTGATGTGAGTAAATCGCTTGTCTCTTTCTAATGCCAAGAAGGCGTGCGACAAGAATTGGGCTCCAAACCAAGGGAATGCAAGTAATGGAGGTGTTTCTTTGTCTTTGTGTTGTTGATGAAGTTTGGATACAATTGATTCGGTAACGAATAGAACTTCGCCTATGAACATGATATTACCCTTGGTAACCGGAGTGTCGCCTTTGACAAGCATTGCACCGTTTACAGTTAGGTGAGCTAAAAATAAAAAAAAATTAGTACCTTATTGTTCTAGTAATTTAATAATAGTTATTTATGCAACAAGTGTGTAAAGTTACTCTTTTTGGATGAATGTGAATGTTGTAAATCACGTGAGTCTCAATGTAATATGATGCGTTCAATAGGACTGAAAAGTCTTAATTATGGCTTTTTTTTAAGGTTATGGGGTCATTGCATTAAGGAGTTATGAGTTTATGGTGTTTAGGATTATGGGTTTGGAGTTAACAGCATGGACTTTGTGTTTAACGTTTGAGTTACAGGCTTATATGCATTAAAAACTGCTTAAAAGACTCAATTATTGTGTTTTTTGAGGTTATAGCAAAACACTGACGTGATAGGGTCAAACGAAGTCCGGATTAGAATTCAGCAACCCCAAAATCATATAAAAAACATGGTCCGATTCCTAGACCCGAAAATTTTTTTTTGTGTGGCTAAATTATAGTGTTTTTTTAAGGTTATGTGGCTATTGCATTATGGGGATCGGCTATTTTCAGAGTAAAATATATTAATTTGTATGGTTCGTTGTAAAATTTGTTGGATTCCGTATTAGCAGTAATTTAATTTATGTTGATACAACATCCAGATTACAAATCGTATATTACCTTTTTGATGATAGTTCGTGGGAATTGTCAAGAATATTTACCTAATTGGTCAGGTACCTACACTTAATATAAAAATACCTACGAGCCTTCCTGAAAATGATCTCCTTTCCTCCCAAAGTCTTGACAGTGTCGCCGTCTTTAATTAAATCCTGTTTCAGTCTTCCTTTGACGAAATGGTTAACGATTACATTTTCGGTAAATTCTGGAACACTGAATGGATAGAAGCCCCAATCGATGGGATGCCACCTTTGGAAGGCGTGATCGGTTGGGATAAATACTGTGTACTCTTCGCCTAAAACAAAAAAAATATATATCAATAAGAATAAAACAAGACTAGAACATTACATTATGTAACGGAAGTAATGGTGGGCCAAGGAATACTACACTCAGATGTTACTTTAAATAATAGTCCGTCATAGAGTGACAGGTTTAAGTGCCCCATTTTCGCATGCAAGCCTCGAAGAGGGTTGAAAAGTACATCGATTTTAAGTAGAATGAAAGGAAATTTACGAGTGGCTGCTGGAGATAACACATGGAAAATTCGATTTTCCCTAACAAAAACGAAAGGTTATTTGTTGCCCATTTTTCCACGCAAGCCGATTTCACTATATGATTAATTAATAGAACTAGGCTTCGGAAAACCAGAATCTTTAATGTTGCAAGTGGCTAAAGGGTTGAAATAAGGGCGTAATCTTCTAAGGAAAAATCGAGCCCATGCATGAAACCGTACGTCGTCACTAGTCCGAAAAACATATTTTCTTGAATGACCCAAATGTATAAGTGCATTTTGGGGTCAAAAATTTTTTCTGATAAGGAAAATCGAATTTTCCATGTGTTATCCACAAGAGCCACTTGTAAATTTTCTTTTATTCTACTCGACATCCATGTATTTTTCAACTTTCTTCGAGGCTTGTATGCGAAAATGGGGCACCTAAATCGGTCACTATCTGACGGTCTATAAGTAAAAATAAAAAAGTAGATGATGATTTAACTGACTTAGTAACCGTTTTTGGACTTTATATATTCAAACTTCCTGTATAAAAGAATTAAACATTTAAAAAAAATATCTAAGCAAACGCTGGATGTACACATAACCGAAAGAGAAGAGACAAGACCAATACTATAAATAGGCGTCATAATTCATAACCGCAGCCTCAGGAAACAGCAGGACAATGAAAGGTAAGGTACAGGAAATGTGAACTGCAGGATGGATTCGCTAAATATATTCTGCAAATGAAATTATTTGGCTAGAGATAATTATTTTTCTGTAGAATATAAACACTATTAGCAAATATTAGGAAATTGCTAGGAACATCCAAGTCACATATGAATTTAAACAAAAATATATGTAAAACCTTTTTATTTCTGAATTTTTATTTATTAAATTTAAGAGAACAGGGCCACAATTTTGTATAATTATTTATTCTAATTATCCATTTGGTATTAATATATTTTTCTCATGTTTTTTGTTATATTTTTAATAGTTTACTCTTTAGTTTTTCCTAGTAGACCAAAACATATGGAGAGTTTTCAATATACATTTTCTACTTAGTCATCATTTGATTTATTTCTTATTTATTCAGTGTCAACGGTAGACTTTTTTATAAGTATCACCTCTTTTTTGGTTATTTTACAACAAATTTTAATTTAATTTTTTATTTATTTACAGGTAGGAATAAATTCGATATTTTTCTGTACAACGGTATTTTAACAAAATGCTTTGACAGATTAATGTTTATTTTCAACTGCGCATCTTAAGCTATAATTGGATGATGTACTAATGACGTCACCACTTTCGTGTACATGGCGTCATCGATTTTTTTTATAAAACATTATATTTTTTTTTTCATTTTTAAATTCGTAATAATAGAAATGTATGTAGTCCAAAGTCATTTGTGATTTGGAGACAAAAATGTTATGTCAGAAATTGTGAATCTAAAATTTTATTGAAAGGACTGGACAAATAAATTTTTAAACCAAACCAATATTAGTCCAGTCCTTTCAATAAAATTTTAGATTCAGAATTTCTGATATAACATTTGTCTCTAATTTACAAAATTTAAAAATAAAGAGAAATATATGTTGTCCTATTAAAAAAAATTGATGACGTCATATACACAAAAGAGGTGACTTTATTACTATATCCAATTGTTGCGGAAGACGCGCAGTTGAAAATTAAATTTGATCTGTGAAAGCATTTTGTTAAAATACTATTAGACAGTAAAATATTGAATTTAGTCCAACCTATATGTCCTCGCTGTATTTACGTAAGGAAAAATGAAAATTTGTTAGTAATATTTGTTTAAAATATGTTGAAAATAAAACTTCATAATTTACAAGATAATTCACCAACATTTCCTCTTCTCCCGGTAGCAGCTTGCCTGTAAGGAGCTGTAGGGCTAAAGCACCCCAATACAAGGGGCAAAATGTATTATAATATTATCTACTCACACAATTTTTAATAAAAATAAATATTTCACTTCTGTTTATAACTTTCATACGGCTTATTTTGTTTTGCTTATTCCAATCATAATCTGGCAAATCGTCCCTGGCGTTCAATATATTTTCCTTTAGCTGATATTATATGGCAGAACTAAAAGTTGTAGCGTATTCGAACGTTCAGATCTGGAAATATCACTCGCGCTCGTAATTCTCAGATACAGAATGTTTACATGCAAGAGATCTACGAAAATTTCCACCTTGCTCCTGTGTAGAGTCTTTATCTTTACAGTGTTGCTAATGTCCGGATAATTATATTTTGTATTTTTTCTTTAATTTCATTTCTCGTTATATGCATAATGCAGTCGTTAAATTCTGTTGGCGTTCAATCCATAAGAAATTTAAAACTAATAAAAATTGAACTAAGGCAGACAAACCGTTTCATTCGAAATTGCATTCTACATAATTGAACCAATTTACAACTGAAATTTCTTTTCCGGAGATTCGACACTATTTCTTTTATTGTTGGATTTGAAATTGAAAGAATTATCGGAGTATTTTCTTTCTCAATTTTACGAGATTAAATAGATCAAGAAGTCGAACAAGTGACTCATGATTTTTGATAAAGCTTGCGATCTTAGGATTACTTTAAATTCATTTATTTCGGTTTCTATTCTGGAATTATGCTTTTAATATTCTGCCAAGGGGCAATTTAATTTCAGGAGTACTTAATCCGCTTTACTGGAATTCTAGATAAATTTTAGGAAATATGTAAAAAATTACAAAGAATTGAGAACTGTTTTTAGCAAAGTTGCCACATTTCTGGAAATTTCTTGGTGGCTATAACAGTGAAACGCCTTTATAAATTAATAAAAATCTATAATATTAAGATACAGTGATCCTCTTCTCTTTAATGCATAATAACTTGTTACCCATTGTAGCTGATCCGCAATGAATATATTGAGTCACATTATTATAAATATGTTTTCGCGAAGCGATGAGGGAGGGTAAATCTCAGAAGGGTATTAGTTCAGTCTATCGTCCTTTCATAATTTTAGGTCACTAAAGGTGGTAGAAATGTATTTTTTGTTACAATAATCCATAACACTTCTAATGTAAAAAATATAATATTAACATGGTTTGTTGCAGTAGATGGCCGTGATAAATAGGCGGCCATGCTTTTGACAGATGAGGTTTATATTGATAAATTACATTGAATTACTGTATAGTAAACCAGCAAATAAAAATATTCTTATGTAAAACATTTCTTGTAGGCATTTGCATTAAACAATTTGAGAAAAATTGAATTCTTTGAAAAGAACAATTTATCTAAATACTGTGTATTATAAATGATACGGTTTCAAAAGCTACGGGTGGTAAGAAAATAGATCTTTTGATGCAAATACCGGATTCAGGATGTCTGAAAAAAAATTTAATTCCCAGGGTATCTATTCTTGAATCTCAGGGAGTAGAAATTTTGAGGGAAGAATGAGATAAAAATACAAATTTTGCGCGTTGTAGATAAAGAGACAAAACCGGTTTTCTATTCCCTCGAATTCAAGAATAGCTACCCTGGAAATGATTCTGAATAATGACCTGGAGAAAAGTACTAGAGGAGGAGGAGGATTAACAGTTAAACAAAGTATAGAGGTGTCTCTTCATTGGCTGGGAACAGGCGTACAATACCATGTTGTCGGAGACATTCATGGTGTATCCGCTGCCACTTGCCTCAGTGTATCGAGGTCGGGTCGGTGGTGTAGCGGTCTAACGCGCTTATATTCATTTATAGGCAAGTTTATGAGTCAGAGACTGCTGTGCTTCGAATCCCAGACCAGACCATGTGGATTTTTAATTAAATTGCATGGTTCGGTTTAGGATTTGATGTGTGCCGTATTAATAGAAATTCAATTTCTGTTGATATGACATGCAGATTATAAAATTGCCATGCATTACCGTCTTGATGATGGTGGGTGAGGTTTTCCGGGTTTTCCTCACCTGTAAGTCAAATGGCACCATCAATCATCTTTAAGTCGCCCCGGAGCGCCACGGCAAATAATAATAATAATAATAATAATAGCCGTCCCTTTCCCCGCACAAGCTCAGCTTTTGGGGTTAAAATTCACTCGTAAAGGGGTGAATTAGGGAGAGTATAATTATTATTATTATATATAAATTTGTAAAGGCTGTACTAAAACGCATATATCAATCTCACGTCAAATTTCCAGAGAACATGCATCTAGTTGCCCAGAATTTTCACCGCATAACAAATATGCCACAGGTAATTTCAATTGTTTATTTATTATTTAAAAGGTAAATTTTTGAAATATTATTTCCTATGAATTTTATGATCTACTAGAATGTTTTATTAAGTGTGTGGTGCAGTGATGGAACATTGATAAAAATAGATGTTCCTACAGAAAATGAAGGTGCCTTTGTAGATAGACACGGGTATCATTCTATTACTTGTATGGCTGTATGTGGGCCTGCTATTCAGTTCTATGCTATTGATGCACATTGGCCAGGATCCACGCATGATAGCCGCGTTCTCAGAAACTCTAATTTATTCAATGACTTGGAGAGTGGAAGAATTTCTTTACCAGGAGGAATTCTTCTTGGAGATAGTTGATATCCTCTAAAAAGCTGGATCATACCTCCTGTAATCAGACCGACCAGAACAGACGCTCACAATATAGCGCAACAAAGAGTAATAGAATACGCTTTTGGGATTTTAAAATAAAAATTTTCATGTCTTTACTACTTGCATGTTAATCCAATTTTTGCAGCGAGAATATTCAAATGCTGCGTTGCGCTATGCAACTTCATTAGACTGGGCGAAGAAGATATTGAAAGAGA